AGTTAATACAAATCCAGCTGTTCATTGTTTGTTCATGTTAGTTCACAGTGCATTAACTAATGTTAAAAAGATTTTAAGAAAGTATTAGTAAATGTTGAAATTAACATTAACAAAGATTAACAAATGCTATAGAAGTATTGTTCATTCTTAGTTAATGTTAACTAATGTAGTTAACTAAAATATTTTAACAAATTAATCACCATAATGGGTGTATAATTATTATTTATTTTAAACATGCTTGTATGTGATATTCCCTGCTTTAGATCACAATTCTCTACAGGGCAGTGCCTGTGCCCTAGAGGATCATGGTCTTCAGAAACCTCCATCCAGTGGTCTTGTAGATCCGCAGGTTCAAACCCCTCCATCTCCAGGACACACAGTAGACGTGACAACTGAGGGTGAGTTTACTGCCATATCTCAAACACTGCTGCCCATGCTTGACATTTTATGTCAACTATAATCATTAATCTTTTAACAGACGACATTCTGAGCCGCTTTGAAATCGGCAAAATGCTTGGAGAGGGAGGATTCGGCTCGGTTTATGAAGGGAAGCGCTTGGAGGATGGCCTTAAGGTACCGTATAGTGATTTTATCACTATATCTCACTATATCCATTTCAAGTCCTTTTATTGTATGTTATGTTCACTATGTAGTGCAATTGACATGTTGTAAATGTAATTGTAATGGGCAAAATGTTTTGTTTTGTTGATCAGGTGGCAGTTAAGTTTGTCAAAAAGTCAGAGAGCATGGAATACATCAACATTGTGAGTTAGAACATGAAAACATAACATTTTTCCAAAACGGGACAAATATTTGTATTCTAAAATTATATTGTTAAAATCTTGCAACCAACAATGATGTTTCTTCCAGCCTGGTCATCCCACACCCCTCCCATTAGAGGTCGGCCTGTTAATCCTAGTTAATCGGGGTCCCAAAGTTCGAGAGATCATTGAACTGCTGGACTGGCAGGACCAGCCTGACCAATACATCATGGTCTTGGAGCGTCCCTCACACTGCATAGATGTGTTTGAATTTTTGGATCATCATGAAGCAGGCTTCCTCGATGAGAAAACGGCACAGACTATCATGGCACAGGCAACAACGGCCGCTCACATGTGCTGTCGCCGCGGAGTTTTCCACAGCGACATCAAGTTGGAGAACCTGCTAATCAACACAGAAACACATGAGGTCAAACTGATTGACTTCGGGTGCGGAGATTTCCTGCAGGAGTCCGCTTATGACGACTTCTGTGGTATGTATTATGAATCAAATGTGATTCAATGTGTATGTAAATGTGATGAAAACGTGCTGGATTTCAAGCTTACCCATCGTTTAAATCTCTTTCCAGGCACTGATGATTACTGTCCACCTGAGTTCCACACAGAGGGCAAGTACCACGCTAAACCAGCTACTGTGTGGTCTCTGGGGGTGCTCTTATTCCTATTGGTGCGTGGACGCTATCCAAAACCCAAAGACCTGAAGAGGATTTATGATGACACCTGGTCTAAGCCTGACTTGTCATCTAAAAAAAGATGGTCAATTAATTCTAAATCACCAAAATAGAACAAAAACACCAAAACCAGAAAGCTTTATAAAATATGGCTGTGTACGGTACACAGTGTACGGTAAAAAAACCCAGGAAGAATCCCACTATAGTGTATAGCGTAATAGAAAGACAACAGTTGTAGAGTTTAGGGTAATAATCAGACTCTCTTCCTTCATTCCCAGAATGCTGCAACCTGATTCGATCCCTCCTGCGGAAAAACCCAAGCGAGCGGATTGGTTTGGGGAAAATCATTTTCCATAAATGGTTTAAGGTATTGTGACCTTAATAAGCTACAAATGAATTTGGACATACAGGTGAAACTCAAACTTGTCATAATCTGTAAGACATAATCATCAAAATTATAACAAATATGGGCTTGAAATGTCTCACTCTGCATGTAATAAGTCTCTATAATATATTAGTTCTATAATATATTAGTTTTACCTTTTAAGTTGAATTACGGAAATAATTGATGAGTTTCACCTGTATATTAACATTTGGAAGACACCTTTTTTGTCCATTTGTTTAACATGTTCTTAGTTTATTGTGATAGAGGAGAAATCAAGGTCAAATCTCTTTTTTGTGTAATGTATGTATATCATCAGCCTGTTAGTGAGGGAAGTGATAGTCAGAGGAAGAGTAGTTCTGGAGAGCAGGTTCTTCTTCACTCAGGTCAGGGTCAGACCTCTGCAGCCACTAGTGAGAGACACGCCGAGGGTAAATCCAACAAATTAATGTTTTCTGTTAATTAGAGCTCTGTAAAGTCATTTTCAGAAAGATGAATGGAAACATTCATTACATTATGTTAAAAATCCACACCGTCACACATTTTATCCAAAATCAGTTGAAGTTAGATTAAGGTCATGATCAGATTTTAATCATGTCGTCTATCGTTAAACACAGAAGAAACATCTTTTATCATTGGCCGAAAGAGAAAACGAAGTTCTCGCAGTGCTCAGGTGTTCGACTCCCATGAGGGCACATCGTCAACATCCAGCACCAGTGTGGCCGAATCCCATCAGCATTTCTGTGTTGGTGAGGGAAACGAGAGGCCAATGAGGAAGAGGAAGAGGACGGATAGTTGAGAAGCTGCCAGCAGCTCAGACCAACAGACATGAGAGACATCTGGAGGGTAAATGACCATTAAAAAATGTGTAACTGTTTACTAGAGCTCTGTACATCATGAAGTCTGCTGTTAATAATGTTTAGTTATATACACGTTTCCATTTATGGTAACTTCATTTATTTGGATAATTTTTCTGTTGCATAAGATGAAGTGCCATCAATGGGAACCAAACTGTTCAAGTCCAAAAGACAGTTTCAGTGCAAACTGTTCAAAGGGCTTTAAACGATTCCAGACGATGAATAAGGGTCTTATCAAGCGAAACGATCGCTCATTTAATAAATAAATAACAAAGTTTAAGTTTTATAAGCTCAAATGCTTGCCTTGCTCTGTTCTGTGCGACTCGAACGCGTTCATCAAAATGAACAAATCTTTTTCCTCTGAGTTGTTTGGTTCATTTAACGAACGAAAAGATTCAGATTATCAGCAAAAGTTTTTTTTAAAAGTGAACTACTCCTTTAATTACCCTATGTTACAAATTCACACCATCACACATTATATCAAAATCCATAATTTTCACAAATTCATAATAATTTGTTAATAATTCATAATAAATTCATAATGTCTAACATATTTAAACTGATGGAACATTGAAGAACTTTTTTTTTTTTTAAGAATTAATGTAGTAACTGAAGAATCACCATAATATGACTATTCAGTGTTGAATTATGCTTTTGTTTGATATTCTCTGCTTTAGATCAAACTTCTCCACAGGACAGTGCCCTAGACGATCATGGTCTTTAAATGTTTCCAGCCTCTCTTTCTCGAGGAATAAACCATGGTCCAGTGACTGCAGGAGCACAAAACTACAGTACGATATCCGGGGGAACACTGTAAATGTAGCCAATAGGATGGACAGCACAGGCGTGCTTGGAAAAATACAGGTAGATTCTTGATCTGACCTACATTGTGTGCCATTTGCATGTTTTTATTTTCAGAGGATCACATCTAGCTTGCTTCCTTCCTCAGGTCACTGAGCAGACGAGTCGGATCTTATACTGACGTTGGGCTATATGTGTTCCTGTCGTGGGATCATCAACGTGAACGGAAAGGGGGATCTCAAAACCTGAAGATTATTGGAGATCGACTGGGTTGTTGATCTGGACACACTGGCGCCAGCAACTCAAATCTGTGATGTTGATATTGTTGAGGTGGCCTACGAACTCCTGTGAGAGTCTTGAAGCTGACTTCTGCTGATAAAACTGCAAACTTTATTCAGTAAACGTTTCTTTAATTTTTATAAGTCTGACTCCAGGTCTTCATTCTTCATATCTGGTTCGGGGTCTTTGACTGTAAACCCCTTACACTATGAACTGAACGCGTAGTGCGGTTCTTGTTGACGCAAAGTTGAAAAGATCTCTCTTTATTAAGCTGAAATTCTCCTCTTTTAAATGAAGTAATTTATATAAAAAAAAGCAACTATTCTCAGTTGATGTAATCTGTATGAAAAGAGAGAGATGCCAGTCTTTTTCCTTTCACCTAATTATAGTGTATGGTGTGTTAATGTCACACGCCCACTGAGAGCGTGCGCTATTCAAACGCTAATGTTGAGGCAAGCTATGAAAACAGCCACATCAGCTGGATAAAACATCCAGTTTATCACAAATCGAACTTTACCTCGTGTTACTGCGCTGTGAGGAATAAATAATCATAATAATCCTTCAAAAAACAAGTTACCTCAGTTACCTGTTGCATTTCAAGGAGCACACAGATGCAGCTTATGTAAGTCATTTATTCTTAAGTGCTTTGCTCTAATCGCGTTATCTGTAAACTGCACAAAGACTGTTTAAATATTAAATGCGTGCACAGACAGACACTCGCACGCTAAATGCATTCACTCCCGCTCCTACATTAGTAAGGCTACGGAGATTTGTTCTATGGGCTATGTGCACAATCGTCGTTTCGAACTTCCGCTTTTGTCAGAAGTTGGCATACCAGTTTCCGGTCTAATCACAGATATTCATCCCTGCATGTCCCACCGGCCTCGAGTCCCACGGAGGAACTCCTGAAGGATAAGACGAGTGACGAGAGAGAGGACCAGGCCTGCTGGGACATTTATGTTGCGTTTTTTTTTTTTTTTTTTAGTTTATGCAGCAGCCACTTTACGTTCATTTTGTTGGCAAAAAGCCTCCTAATGTGTGTGCACTAACTTGGATGACTAAGTGCAGAAGACAAATACAGAGTGTGAGTTATACTTGTCCTTTACATGTCACTTAAACCTTATGATTTTATGAACATGTTCCCTTAAACAGCACCAATACTTTGTTTAGTTTTGAACAGATCCACTTATTTACAGGAACTTTGCAGGTACACAAATTAAAGATACCTTAATTAAAATCTTAAAATATATTTATTGCTTTAAAATATGCTCTTCATGATCAATTAAAACCAAGCAATTTTACAACGGACACGGTAAAATACAAAAATAAAAATGTGCTAAATAAAAAGGTTATAGGAGCGTGGTGGTGTGCAGGTTGTGTTTGAGGACAGTGCTGATGATGGACTGGAAGGCCTCCTGTACGCTGGAGCGCTCTGTGGCGGTGGTGAAGTGAGGGAACACCACCTTTCCTGAGGCGGAGGCACACGTCACAAACTGATCCGTCACATACTGAGCAGCACAGCTCACATCACGCTCAGGACCTGCACGCACATCAATATCAGTTTCTCTGCTTTAAATTCTACTGAATATAAAAGAGAAGTGACAACAATGATGCACTTTAAACTACTAGTACATACAGTATGCTGTATAATTAATACAATTTATCTTTGTTAGTGCTACAAGCGTCATTTTCTCTTGCTCTTCTGTTGTTTTTTACGATTTAAATAATCATACAGAAACTAGATTGTGTAAAGAAAGTTTACCTTTGTAGTCTGGCTGATAAAGTCGCAGATGTCTCCCCGAATACAGTATTTTCTCAGCAAACAGATCAATTTTGTTCATAAATAAAACCTGAAAAAGAGTTAAAAAAAATGCTCATTAGCCAAATTCTGACAAATTAATACAAAATGCTTTGTACACATTTGTGAATTTGTCAAGTAGATGAGTAGTTGTGCACACATTAATAAATAACACCAGGCCTATTCATTTATAGTTGTTTGTGTGTGGGTTATGAAATGCTTGAAAACCACAAAAATAAAGTTTAAAAATCCAAATGAAATCAAATGAGATCGACTCAGAAAACACGCCAATGAATGAATGTGTGTTACCTGATCCACAATTGCACTTCTTTGTTGCATGCACAAATCATGATACACTAATTCAGAAGAAAACATCTGTATTCACAAAAATGTCTATTTTTACAAATAGTTGCACATTCTCAAGTTGATTTGGTTGAGGAGGCATTTGGTTGTGGATAGTAACACACACCTGCAACATTTATCAAGTTCATGGATAATTGTGCATGCATTTATTAATCATTTTGAGACTAAATTCACCCCATAGCCCACTGGCGTGTTCGTGAGAAGAGCGACAGGACCTCTGGACTAGCAAGAACGTTATCTTTGTTAACGATGCAAATGCTCATGTTGTTCCAAACCTGTGGGGCTTTCTTTTAAAAGATGATGTTTTCAAGGTTTGAAACCAAACAAACGTTAGGCCCCATTGAGTTCCATAGTGTGAAGAATACAAAAACCAAATACAATGGAAGTCAATGGGAACCAGAAATGGTTTGGTCACCAACAGTCTTTAAAATATCTACTTTTGTGTTCAGCAGAAGAAACACTCATACAGCTTTGGAAGAACTTAAGGGAGAGTAAATGAAGGTTTTTTCATTTTTGGGTGAACTATCCCTTTAACAGGATTAAGTATAGAGTATGCAGGGCCTGAAGTGCAGCTCACCAGTGAAGCTCCTCTGAAGAAAGCACTGTTACACATGGAGCTGAAGCACTCCAGGCTTTCATGGAGACGGTTCTGCTGAGAAAAGAGATAGAGTTACAGGGATAACCTATTAAAAGCATAGATAATATAATGTCATATGAATCGGTCTGCGCAAGCGTGCCGGAAGTGATCTCTCCTGCGTGTATGTCACTCATTGTTTACACAGAGATTTCAGAAGTGTTATCCTTCACTGTGAAGATCTAAACATATTTAGATATACAGGAAATCACAATGGAAGACGATTTCGATATATCAACAGAAAACGTTGATTTTTTTTCGCAACCGCACGAGAGATCACTTCCGGCGCTTTCCAGCGCTTGCGAAGACTGAAGCGCCCTCACCCTCAGATCAGTTGGACATGGCTGTGGTTACAAGTGGTAAAACGATATAAATCCTGTTCGTTTTTTCACACAAACCACTCGTTTCGTGTCTTAGGTCATCAATGTGTACTTACATTTATGAGTCATTAAATCATGTTTAATCTGGACTTCTCTGTGCATGCTCTTTGAGTTGGACCCCATAGACTTCCATTATATGACTGACAGACAAGAACGGTTTGACTGAAAAATATCAAAATTGAAACTACTGTGGAAAGACACCTACATCTTGGATGCCCTTGAGGTAAGCTAAAACATTTCAAAAATTAATTTCAAAGTGATCTATCTCTTTAAGTGCAGAATGCGTTACACACTAGCTAGTAGTTAGTGAGCTTCTAGTGTGGACTTTCTTGTTTAGTGGTTAGTGGATAGTTCACCCAAAAATTACTCTCCCTCATGTTATTCCAGCCCTGTAAGACTTTTGTTCATCTTCAGAACACAAAGGAAGATATTTTTGACGAAATCTATGAGCAGGCTCACTCCTCCGTATGCTTCTGATAAGTTCACAAAGACATCGTTAAAATAATCCAAGTTGTTTTTTTGCACACAAAAGTCACAACAACTTTATTCAACTATTCATGTTCTTCTGTGTGGGCCTCAGAGCGAGTTCACATAGTGTAACAGTGCAACGCTTCTGGATACGACAGTATGCAGGCTTACTATTGGCCACGAATAGTATACTCGATTGATAAATTTAAGATTGAGTCACTTGGACAGTGTGTTAACGATGCGTTTCCTTACTTTCTGGGCCGGCTGGTTTCACTTACAATAGAAGCCTTTGGAGGAGTGATCCAGCTTTCAGATTTAATCAAAAATATCTTCATTTGTGTTGCGAAGATGAACTAAAGTCTTACGGGATTGGAACAACATGAGGGAGAATAATTACTGACAGAAGTTTCATTTTTGGGTGAACTAACCCTTTAAGTTCCAGTTTAAGTGAGAACTTGCGAATGACTGGTTCAACCCAACCCTGAACACCAGAAACAGCCTAGCTTTTTATCTCTAACTTGTCACTCTGTCAGCAACCAATGCATTGAGGGTCTATATACTGTATACAGTACGTTACATTCAATTAGTCTTACCTAAAGCATGTGGCAAACTGTGACAATCTGACTGAAATCATCTTGGGCTTTGAAAAGACAGGCTTGTAGAGTTGAACTGAAGATCCAGCATGTTTCTCACCTTGGAATGATGTTCAAGGTTTTGATCGTATCCACTAAGAGCCACCATGAACAGGACTGCTTGGACATTGTCAAAATAACTGTACCACTTCTTTCTTTCTGAACGCTGGCCACCAACGTCGATCAGCCTATAAACAAAAGATTACTGGTTACAAAAGATAACAGAAATGAGTCGGTCTACTTCACCCGAAGAGCAGCTGAGGCATTATGGTTAAATAACTTAAAAGAATAGGATGAATGACTGCATAATTTGTATAGACATCACATATAAACAATAAATCTCTTTGAGGAAAAACTCACAGTAAGATCCTCATATATACAATGAGCTGCCTTTCACTCGCCAACTACTTTTTATACAATACAACAGCCTGTTCCTCACAAGAGCAATCATATGACTAGCACAGAAGACTTGGGATACAGTGCATGTGTCTAAAGGGCAATTTTATTGTTGATGATGATTTTGTGTTTTATGTGTTTGTGTTTTGTGTTTTTGGCGCTAACAGAACCTGGTCACCGCATGCTTTCTGTGGATGGAAATGAGCAACATTAACATGATAAACAACATCTGTTGTTATGAAAATTGAAGTGAATAGTCCATAAAGCGAATTTTGGGGTTAACGATACTCAAAGAAGTCCTACAACTGCCTTTATTCAATTTAACCAGATCCATTGGAACCATTCTGCGATGAATCACTTTCAAATTAAAATTGGGGCTTAATCAAGATCCTACTAAAAACTAAAGAGCCCCTATTTGAGAGTGGATGAGTGGTGTGAGTTTTCAAAAGCTCCTCAGAAGATCGTTCAAATATTTCCCAAGCAGTTTTAGTTTAAACATGCACATGGGACCAGTCTGGCATTGCATCTCTGGCTGTGTAAGTAAATATCTGGTGGTGATCTGAACCACTGAATCCTACAGGCAGAGGAGAAAATGGAAAAATTTCTCATCTTGGTCTTTGCAAGGGAAACTCTGAGGTTATGGGTTTGGTTCTAAGATCAGAAGGGCCATTTTAAATATGGATGAAGCATGACAAATGTTTTGAGCTATGATAATATTGTAGAAATGTTTACCTGTAGAGTGAGTTGTTGACTCTGATCTGGGTTTCAACGACACCACGAGTCCGCACTCGAACTCTGAGAACATCCGTTTCAGTGGGAATGTAGTTCGGTGCGATGATACGACTAATGTTCTCAAAGAAACTAGAGATGTGGCACAGGAAACAAAGGCACAAATCAGACAACACACGCTTGGTTCAATTCAAGCGGCAACATTCTAATCTGAAAGATGAAGCCTACCCGGAAGTGCGATAAACTGCAATACATCTCAAATCCACTAGAGGCCGGTCCCAAAAGGGAGCAAATATCCATAGACGTCATGTTATAATGTCCGTTTTCACAGCCTAAATTCATATGTTTACAGTTTGGTCCCATGGACTTTTATTGTAATCTTCAATTTTTTTCTAACTCGTTAGTTTAGATCATATTTAGATATAAAACGTAGGACAAATAAGGGCGGTTAACTTTGATTGACAGCTGATAACGGGCTGCGCCGAGTGAATTTGACGTCTCGGCCATGATCGGACACAACCCACCTCTGTATCCCTTCTGAAACTTTTGTATTTTCCAAGATTTTCCAGTATGGCGCCGCCCATACCCCCCATAAATAGCTTCAAACCCGTTCTTCAGAGAGTCTATGTGTGATGTCACAGTAGTTTGTCCATATTTTTTACAGTCTATGGTTCAGTTTCACACAAATTATGACAACTCTTCAACAAGAACTTAACTAATCCACACCCATCCTTGCCAAAACAATTGAACAGTCTGTGACAAAAGTCCTTTAAGTAAGCAGGGCGGGCCCTGGCCCTTACGGGTCGGCCCTCCTCAACCTCCATTCCAGAACCGCTGGGCAGTTCCCCATAGCTGGACTTGTGGCACAGCCCGGCCCTGGATCTAACTGACGGCCAGGGGAAAGCAGGTGAGATTGCAGGTCAGGTGCAGGTTGCTGGGGCGCTTGTGACGGTGCGGCCTGAGGAGTATGGGAAGCCTGCTGTGGCCTGTACATATCGGCAGCGGTGGAGGAGGGGACGATGGCAGTGGAGCCACCATTTCCTCAGTCTTTTAGCATGCCATCGTGATCCGTCACTAAGCATGAATGTAGCTGGGCCCAGCTGGCGGTGCACCTGACAGTGCTGGCTCCAGTATGAAGCCATCTTGTTGCCCCGATGTGGCCTATGTGCTCGAACCCAGTCACTTGCGGTAATAGCCGTGGCCTTGACCCTGTATTTCCGGTCAAAATACTGTTACTGTGTCTGTTTACAGCGGCTTTGGTCCGAGCCTGAGAGCTGCCGGCTGTAGGCACTGCCATGCCTTGTGCCTTAAGTCTGTCCAGTGGCAGTTCCATCTCCCGGCCCAGCATGAGGAGGGCTGGAGAGGCCCCGGTTGTAGCGTGTTGGCTGGCCCTGTAGAGCATTAAGGTTTGGTTGAGTGCTGTCCGGAATGTACACCGGACGCCATTCTTTAGGATCTGGTTGAACCGCTCCACACCGCCATTTGCGTCATTTGGACTGTAGTATGCTGTGCGGATGTGTTTGATTCCCCCATCACTGAGGAACTGAGAAAAGTCTGCAGAGATGAACTCAGGTCCATTATCTGTTGTGATGGCGCGAGGCATGCCCCAACGCAGGAACAAGACTTCTAGAATTGTCTGTGATGACCTGGGTTGTGACCGTTCCAGCTGGAACCACTTCAGGCCATTTCGAATGGAGGTCGTACAGCACCACAAGGAAACGCTGATGATGGGGAATTCCACGGCCATGGATCTCTCCCCAGATGTCAAGCCCATGGGCGGGACGGCCATGGAACCGGCTGCAGAGGGGTTGGCACTGGAGGCCCAGTTTTCCCACTAAGGAGGCATGGCACACAATCTTTAATGAGGGCTTCAATATCGCGATTGATGCCTGGCCACCAGATGAGATCTCGGCTTCGCTGTTTGAGTTTAAAAATGCCTAGGTGCCCCTCGTGTGCTATGGATAGCACGCTGGCCCGCAGGGTACAGGGCACCACGGTGCACAAGGCCCTGGAGACACAAACATCACCCCAACATGAAAGTTCATCACGCACCCTTGTGAGTGGCATGAGCTCGTCACAAACCTTTGCTGGCTATCCAGAGCGAATGTACGTGCGTAGTGAGGACAGTGTGGGGTCATGCTCGGACTCATGCTGCAACTCCTCCAATGACACGGCCGACTGCAAGGGCAAGCATGTGAATTAATTCAGTCTCTGTGTGCTCGTCAGGGAAGACCTTAGGTGTGGGGGCATCGATGGAACGAGAGAGTAAGTCGGCGACTACATTGTCCCTTCCGGGGGTAAATTTCAGTACATAGTCATATTGCCTCAGCCTTTCCCCCCATCTGTGCAGGCGCAGGGGTTTGTGACGGATCCAGATGGCGTCAACAATGCGGTAAGGGCCTGATGGTCAAACATGAGGGTGAAATGCCGTCCGTAGAGGTAAAGGTGCCACCTCTCTGAAGCCCAAACACAGGCAAGTGCCTTACGTTCACCCACAGAGTAGCGTTGGAGGCGAAGGCTACAGGTCTCTCCCCCCATCCTGCACCTGTGAAAGGACTGCACCAATAGCCCGATCTGAAGCATCACAGATGACTAGAGTCAGACATTCAGGGTTGAAGTGGACTAGTACAAGAGGTGTTGTGAGCTGAGCTTTCAGTGTTTGTACGGCCTCAGAACATGCCGTAGTCCAGTGCCATTGCTCTTCTTTTTTAAGCAGCTGGCGGAGGGGTGCAGCGGTCTGTGAGTGGTGGGGCAGGAAACGGAGGTAGTAGGCCGTGACGCCTAAAAATGAGGCCACTTGAGAGGCTGAGGTTGGCTCGGGAATCCTGTGTATGGCATCGACATTGGACTGTAGAGGGGAAATCCCTTTGGCTGACAAGCGGAACCCAACAAAGTCGATGGCTGGGGCAGCGAAGCAGCATTTTTCTGGGTTCAGATTCAGGTTGTTCTGACGTAGGGCTTGAGCCACCCTCTGAAGTTGCTTGTTGTGTGTCTCGATGTCTTGGGCATGAATAACAACATCATCCAGAAAGACTGCTACCCCAGGGATGCCGGCCAGTATTGTGCTCATCACCTTCTGAAATGCGGAGCTTAATCCAAAGGCCATTTGAATGTACCAGAACACCCCAGCATGCGTCATGGAAGCCGTGCGGTCCCTGCCGGCTGGGTGGAGTGGTACCTGCAGGTAGCCCTGACGCAAGTCAAGCTTTGTGAAGACAGTTGAGCCATGAAAGTGTGCAGTGAGCTCCTCTGAGGTGGGCAGATGATATCGGTCTGGAATTCAACAAGCGTAAGTCCACGCATATTCTTATTCCCCCAGATTTTTTCTTTGCAATGACTAGGTTTGAAATCCAGGGAGCAGAGTTGACTGGTTCAATAATTCCCATGTCCAGGAGTGTCCCAAGTTCGCGGGTGACCTCATCTCTCAATGCAAAGGGGATCCTGCGCAGGGGCTTGATGACTGGTGACACGAAGGCTGAAAGACAGCCTAGGCCATCGAACAGAGCCGGCCACCTTTGCTGCCAAGTGGAGGTGATGGTGAATGTCGGAGCCAGCATCATCCCGGAGCGTGAACCCCAGACCTGTGAACAGGTCCAGACAATGGCGGACAATTTCCTCTTGTCGGTCATGTCATCAAAGCCTAAAGCGTCCAGGTAGACTGTGAACCTCTCCGGCCAGTTTGTCCATGGAACTGGAGGATCTCCGGGGACGGCAAGAAAGTGTGCAGGTGGGGGTAAACCAAATTGAGCCATCCTCGTTGCCAATCTTATGTTTACAAAAGAGCCGAGACACACAGAAACCGTACTACATGTTTTTTCCTGAACTTCCTTTTTCCGCTCACACCCACGCATGTGCACCATAAACATCGCACAGCTGATTTTATAACCACCAACACAGCTAGTTTACTTCATAATAGTAGCCCCCTTGTTATTTTCCTAGCAGTGTGTAAATAAATGATTTCAGTTAATTATGTGAACACAACATGTCCTACTCCATTTTATACTATAAAAATGGTTTGTAGAGCACAATGCGAAGTATGACAAGTCACTTGCCATGTTCTTCATTTGTTGCTTTGGATAAGGTCTCTTTAGAAAAAACTGTCTACTAAATGAATAAATGTAAATGTAAGACAATATGTATTCTTAAAGACTTAAAATCCAAAGTTAAAATTGGAAAATGAGTTGGTTAAATGAAGATTTCATTTAGTAAATGTCAGCGAAGTAAATTACACAGAGTAATATATCTAGCACTCACTAGCGAGCTGAATCGTTGAGCTGGAACTCGTGTCCTCGGGCCACTGCGGTCCTGAAGCCCAGATCCCCCCACAGTCTGCAGAACGCATGAGCCACGAACGGCAGCAGCTCCAGATCCGGTCCCACACAGCACTCGCACGACAGAACCGCACGCGCATGACACTGAAGAACACAAGACCATCAATCCGGGCTCAGCAAAACCTCATGGCCTGGTCATGAGGTTACAAATAAGGTTACTTAACCCTCATCCTTCCCTCGCGTTCTGTAACAAATCCTTCTCTCGCAGGTCAAAATGACCCAAAGCCCTAAAATTCTATTATTATTATTATACAAGCTAATTTAAATTCATTTTGATAATATTTTTCAGTGCAATTTTATTTTATTGACCTTTAAATTAGCAGATTTGAAAAACAAACTTAATTTCAACTTAAATTCAAAATAACACTATTTCATGCGTAACCATTTTCAGCTCAAAATATCTTACATTGTGTGTCTTTGCCGACCTCTTGTGGAAAAAATATAACATGATATTCATGACTCTTGCCACTGATGGCCTCATGAGCAGTTTCTCTGGGTCCTAAAGTTTTAGTAGTTTTAGATTTTTTTATGTGTACTGAAGCATTCCTCGATCTCCATTCATTCCTAAGGGGGTCAAACTGACCGGCGAGGGAAGGATGTGTTACTTTTCAGCCACAAAACTCCTCAAATCCATTCAATTTTATTTTGTGTATTCATGGTTCAAGTGAGACAGAAGTCATGGGGTCTTGGACCAGAGGGAACAATTAGGGTTAAATTGGAAAATAGATCATATTACGTCAATAACATTTTTGCAGCATTCAACTCACCCATTAGATCTGGGTAAATTGTTTAATAATGTGGATTACAAATGATAGTCACCCAGTGTCAAAGGTCATGCTACATATTCCCTTGGCGAGGATATCGCTGCTTGTGTATAATATTTGATTTAATATTATTGCAATATTCTCCAACAATCCTTTGGTTTGGAGAGGTCAGAAACATACAGTGGCAAGATATTAATAAGCCAATTCAGTGTTGGGTCTAATACAGCTGCTATGATCATAATGACCACTTCTGAAACACTAGTCTGTGTGCCTCACCTTGTTCTTCTTGTTCGACAGATTAATACGCAGCATTCCCATGCCATGCAGGACAAACTTCAGAGATGTCAGCAGGTTATCCAACACAGCAGCCTGAAGATTTGGAAGAAAACAATAACCTTAAAATTACAACCAAAGCTTTTGGAGAATACGACATAGCTTTTATATGCAAAGTAAGTTACTAATCCTGTAGTTACAGCAGAATCAAGTACGGTTTATGGATCATATTTATTATAGAAGCGTGACATACTTTCCAGTAATTGCACATTATTATGTTTAATATCAAACATTTCTAAAGGCAGCACAAAGACTAAAGTTATGTTTATCATCAAATGTTGCTGTGTTTGCTATTCATTTTACAACTGTTTTTCTTTTTTTGTTGTTAAGATATAAAATCAATATTGGGCTCAAAACACAGCCCTACTTTCTAACTTGTATGTTCTTTAACATTTCTGATGGATGTAATATGAGAGTTATGAACTGTGGCATGTTGTGTACATATACATTCATGTTCCATGCTCTAATGTTTACATAGATCCCAGGTTAATTTGCTTCAAGACAAACATTTGATTCATGTGTACATTTTTTTTTCTCTCAAATATTTGGGTAAAATCTGCATATGAACGTTTTCGTAAACAGATCATGATTCGTGAATAACTTTCGTTCGAAAACATTCTAAATTTAAGATTTTCTTTGGAAAATAAAACCACTCGTATGTAAAAAAAACCCACATATACCCCGCCAAATACTGAATGCCAAGACTAACACTGTCATTCAGATGAACAGATGAATGCTGCACCTTGAAGCTGAGGAGTTCTTGTTTGTTAAAGCCATGGCTGTAGATAATCTTCATCTGTTTGACTAATGTGCTTTTGCCGCTCTCGGGAGTACCTATAAGTTTGAAAGAATATATTGCAGAGCACACAAAAGTATATAAATAAAATGCCAATGAATAACTTAATAAAACTCATACATACTAGGGGTCAAATAGACACTTCTGATTTGTGAAAGGTTTCACAGAAAACTCAGTTAACTCTTCCCCTGAGTCTTTAACTTTATTTTGATTTGTGAAAACTTTTACAGGTTCTGTTAATCTTCAGAATAGTGAAGGAACTTAAGAAAGGGTTAACTGAACAAACCTTTACTGTGAAAGTTTTCACAAATCTGAATTGTGTTAAAAAGTTAAGGACTCAAGAAAAGTCTGTGCTGATTATTAGATTAATTAATATTTTAAAATAGGGAGTTATGCTACATTCTAGACAGTTCAGAGTTTGATTCATAAACTTTTGTTATCCATGTCCACAGAGCTTGTTTTTGCATAATCTAAAAGCCTGTGGGACAGTGGGAACAATCCTATTGGGTTTTTGTCAAGGGAACCAGTGTGATGCGAACTGCTGGTTGAAAAAACTAAATTAGACATTATTTTATTTAATACTACCTTTGTTTTTGCCATTCCAATCGATTTATGTTGTTTTTATTCTGTTTTTTTAATATATTTGACACATAATTGTGATCAACATGTGACCGTGCCGTCTGATTGCCTGAAATTAATCGAGATATGAATGGGACATTTAACTTAATTTGGGATATTCCTCGTCCAACCTCGTCTGAAACGCAGCATTAGCTTTGAGTTCTGAAGCTTGCATGTTTTTTCTTATTGTAGTAGAGTAACCTATTATAATTATTATAATTCTGCCGAAGACTTTTAAAGCGCACAGTCTCCTTCAAACACTGTCATTCACTGATTGCATATTGTAATTTTTTGGATTGCGCGTGCATTGTGTGACTACCCAGAATAAGGACCCTGTGCGCGTGCAGCTCGCGCTCTATTCGCACGCTGTCTTGGTGGTTGAAGGATCTCTTCTCTTCTTTCCTCGGTTTCACACACTTCTGCATCGCCGCGTAGCAAGCCTAGAGATGAACGACAACTCGACATCAACTACTACTCAAGTCAGCATTGCCTTTCTTCTCCTCCTCCAGTCCTTCTTCTTCTTAAAGTATAACTCCAAATTTCACTTACCTGCAGGGATGTTGGAAAGTCAAAACACCGAAACATTTCTAAAACTATAGAGTTAAAATCGTGTTTAAAACGCCAGATATTTGCGGTAACCTTCGCGCACCACACCTGTTCAACACTGCGATTCGGGGACGTGACGTCACATAATTAGGGAACATTAAGTCGACTTGAAACGGAAGTTGCGACACTTTTTAGTTTCTGATTGTGACGTTTATACTTGAGTGAAACGGCTTCTCAAACAAGAAAAAATGTTCGGCGAGATTTGATTTTGTCCATCGGAAATTGAATGGTCAAAAAAAAAAAATAATAAAATAAATAAATAAATAAAAATAAAAACCCAGACCATTGGGCTATAGTTAAATTATTTGAATGATTTATGTGAACTTAATCGTATGTCACATGAATGTAACCCTATTCAACCAGATAAGGTATAAACCTTATCTGGTTGAATAGGGTTACATTCATATGACATACGATGATGTTATGATCGATTTTATTTTCTAAAATTAAAATGTTTTCATTTGAGATAATCTCAAATGAAAACATTTTAATTTTAGAAAATAAAAATAACTCACCACAATGTGGTTATTGATGATATATTTTAACATTTTGTGAAAATGTTTTAGACTTCAAAGTATTTCATTTCCAAGGACATACAAAACATATTTTATTCATATTCATTACAAGTTTGCCACAACACACATCTTTCTGATTACAACAGAAATCATGTGCTAATTTCCTCTGACAAAAAACTTTTACATAACCAACCAGCATCGCGTAATAATTACCTGCTTAAAAAATAACAACATCCAATTAGCAACCTTTTAAGTTTTAAATAGATTAAAATCAATCAATCAATCAATCCATTTAATAAAACTTAATGAAGTCAGATCAAAACCGACTTAAATAATCCTTGAAACCATAATGTCAGAGAGATTTCTTGTTTAAAATATTACCTAGTTATTATTAAACACTTTATTTAACATGTCACATTAAAACAGAGTTGGTTAGTTAGGTTTCAGTCATTTAGGTTTCTGTTCGTAAGAATGATCATAACATCAGTTCTGTCAAGAACTGTCATCACTATCGTCAAATACGATTGACAATTAGCATACAGTTAGGTTCTAATCATAATGCCGAATCCTGACTGGACAAAAGAATTACGCCAGAACTACGCTTGATGTTTTAATAATTGGGCTATAATAATTGGGTAGCACATCTGCATATTCACATGGGCTTTAGGTTTGTGGTTTAAAATATTTTAATATTTAGAAACAAGTTCCAAGGATGGCGTATAATGCCGAATCCTGACTGGACGAGAGGTGGAGCTGGGGAGGGAGGGAGGTAATGAGCTGTTGGATGTTGAGACTCTTCTTGGATGAGTTAAAATGTTGATCTAAAATATATATTTTTTTTTAAATCAGTCCAAGTAACATACAACACAGTAACCCTGGATCAGCACTTTTACTCTAAAGGACTATTATTATTTAATTTCAAAATGCATTTAAAACAGATTCTTTGAACATCTCAGTTTAAAGGATTATTATCCCCCCCAAATTAAAACTTTGCATTTATTCATCTTCATGTACTTCTCTTTGACATTGTAGGCATGCATCATTTTATTTCTCAAGGTGAATTTTGAACATGGGCAGGGATGGGGTGACTGAGTCGCCGTTATGGAAAGAGGTGTCACATTTCCACACGCTAAGCAGTAGACCAATCACAGCAGACTGAGGTCAACTGACCAATCAGAGCAGAAAACAGGTCTGGTTGGAATATTTATGTTAAAACACCATGTAAAAGTGAATTTTGTATAATAGGTCCCTTTTAACATTGTCATATCCAGTACCATGGTCATATATTCTGAAAGTCAAGATAGAACTGCTATTTTCCCCAAAAAAGTGAATGTGTTTCATGTGTCATGGGTCAATTACTTCAAAATGCTACCGTAAAAATGTGTAAAATTGTGTATGGCGACAGTCAAGCACACTGGGAATAAGGCCCAAGTGCAACTTTTAATGCACCCTCAAAGGCACCTGAGATAGAGTGCCTCCAAATGGGCTAACAATGCAATTTCTATTTGAATTGAAATCTCACATTTGTCAAATTCATGGGTCAATTACTTAAACAAGCTACAGTAGAAATGTCTGGAATTTGGTATGGTGACAGTCAAGTGCCCTGGGACAGAGGCCCCAGTGATGTATTTAACGCTTCCTCAAAGACAGCCGAGATATAGCGCCTCCAAATGGGTCAACAATGCAATTTCTTCTTTAACTGAACTGTCATATTTGTCGACTTCATGGGTCCATAAGATCAAAATGTAAAAAAATATCTGGAATTTGGCATGATGACAGTCAAGCACACTGGGTATAAGAAATCAGTGAAACTTTTAAACTTTTAACTCCCTCAAAGGCAGCTCCAGTATAGTGCCCCCAACTGGGCAAATAATGCAGCGGTTCTTCTAACTGTTACTGTCATTTGTCAAATTAATGGGTCTATAACTTCATAACGCTACAGTAAAAATGTCTGAACATTTGAATGATGATAGTCTAGCACGCTGAGTATAAATCACCCGTGAAACTTTGGATACCCCCAAATCGGCCAATAATGTGATGGCTCTTCCAACTGTGTTGTCATATTGCGTCCATAACTTCAAAATGGTACAGTATTTCTTAAAAACATTGCAGCAAAAATATTGGTTGACATCGTTCTTTTATTTTATAATTAAAAAAAATTTATATTTACTAGAAACTGAAATTGAAACTTTGTAGAAATAAGTAAAACAATATATATCTATGAGACATGAGGTATTAACAGTGTCAGTATTTTCTAACACAGGACACGGGTGGGGGTATTTATTGTATTTGTGCAGCTTGTATAGAAATAGATTGTCTTAGTACCTGTTCAATATTTAAAAATGTAATTAGTCGTCTGTTTAAAAAACACTTTACGATTTAAATAAAACTTTATACAGCTTCTAGGAAGATTAAAGTTGTAATTAAATCATACATTCTATTTAAGATTTAATTTAAACGAACGTTTTATTTTAGAAGATCAAATTTAAACTTTTACTATTATGCTTTGAAATATGCTCTGGTAAAAAGAGTGAACAGACTAACTTACATAAGCTGTGGCACATTGTGTGTTGATCTGACCTCTGACCTCTGTCAAACCATTTATCTATCTGGGGACTTGAAGACCTCACTTCTTAGAGAAGCACATCACATCGTAGGCTGATCCATTGCATGTTCATACAAATGACCTTCTGGAAGACAGGACACATTTCCAATGTGTAGGTATAATAATTTTAAGAAGTATTTTATTCCTTTTTCAATTAAAATGTTAAATGATGAATATTTTTTAAGGGTGTGGATTTTTGTGTGTGTGTGTGTGTGTGTGTGTGTGTATTGTAGAATTTTCTGGATATGTTTCCAATGATTTTGTCATTGTAAACACCTTGAGTCCAACACAAATTTTGGGGACAATAAAGTGTATTTTATTCACTTATAGAATCTTTTATAGAACCTCTTATGTGTGTGTGTGTATTCTAATTCAGAATGGTTTGATCTGTTCAAATAAAAATGTTCATTCCTTTTACTTATTTTGACATTAGAATCTTACTTTTCTCACTTGCATATCTCTATGTGCAAGTGAGGATAAACGGGGAGCAGCCAGAGACGACCCTGCGAAGGAATGTGGAAGAGGAGGAGGATGCCACTCGTCTACAGATCTGAAACGTCAAAATGGGCCTGGGGAGTTTGAATTTGCGATGTCAGAGTTCAAAATGAACAAAGCTCTTATTAATCACCAGATAACCGGAGCAACATAAATATCACAAAAATATGCAAATGTCATAGGTCATATTGAGTCGTTACGCCACATCTGTACACATAAAGAAGAGTCTCAGCTAGACTTTCAAAATAAGTAAAAGGAATAAACATTTTTATTTGAACAGATCAAACCATTATGAATTAGAACACACACACACACACACACACACACGTACGGTTCTATTATAGGAAAATTTATAAGTATTTTAAAGAAGGTGGTAATGAATAAAATATATAATTATATATAACACACAAAATATAAAAGTAAACATGATATTAAAATAAAAAGCAAAACAATTTTCTAAATCATTTCTTATGCAATGATATCAATAACATAAATGAAAGGCTTACAAATACTGTAGTTTAAATTGAAATATGAAATCTCAGAGTACTCTAAGTCTAAGTGAATGAAATACACTTTATTGTCCCCGAAATTTGTGTTGGACTCAAGGTGTTTACATTGACAAAATCATTAGAAACATATACAGACAATTCTACACAGACACAAAAAAACAACAACAATAATATTAATTCTTATACACATTTCAATTTTAATTGAAATAGGAATAAAAGACTTCTTAAAATGATTATACCTACACATTGAAAATCTGTACTGTCTTCCAGAAGGTAATTTCGTATGTGAACGCCACATCTGTTCACATAAAGAAGAGTCTCGGCTAGTAGACTATATTGAGTCATTACGCCACATCTGTACACATAAAGGAGAGTCTCGACAGAAACAACCCTGTGAAGGAATGTGGAAGAGGAGGAGGATGCCACTCGTCTACAGATCTGAAACGTCAAAAATGGGCCCCGGGAGTTTGAATTTGCGATGTCAGAGTTCAAAATGACCTAAGCTCATTTTAATCAGATAACCAGTGCAACATAAAGATCACAAACATATGCTAAAGCAACCCGGTCTCATCCCAAGACGTCATATAACTGACGTTTTGGGACGTCTTTTGACCATACGTCAATATTCGCCTTTTTAGGGCCCCCTTAAACGTCGGTAGATGAGGTTATGGGATCCTAACTCTACCCCAGACCTAAGCTTAACCCTAAACCTAACCCGTCACCTAACTGACGTTAAAGGTAAAGCGTCAGTTGTATGACGGCCCGGGATCGCCATCTACCGACGTTTAAGGGGGCCCTAAAAAGGCAGATATTGATGTACGGTCAAAAAACGTCCCAAGACGTCAGTTATATGACTTTTTGGGATGAGACTGTTTTAGCTAAAGTCATAGGTCATCTTGAGCTCTGGAGATTACGATAGGTCAATAGGTCTAATATGGCTACACAGATTAAAGGGTTAGTTCACCCAAAAATGAAAATTCTGTCAGTATTTGCAGTAGCAGTGTTTATTTGTTCTGCTGAAAAGGAAGATATTTGGAAGAATGTTTTAATCAAACAGATCTCATTCCCCATTGACTACCATATATATGGAAGTCAATGGGGAATGAGATCTGTTTGATTAAAACATTCTTCCAAATATCTTCCTTTGTGTTCAGCAGAACAAATAAACCCATAGAGGTTTGGAACAACATGAGGGTGAGTAAATACTGACAGAATTTTCATTTTTGGGTGAAATAACCCTTTAAATTGTTAAAAGTGATGCTTATAAGAGAGCATAGATCTAAAACTGCTGAGGCTGTGAAGGGTTCTGATTATATTAGGTACACACTCAGCGCACTGTCATTCTGAAAAAACAAACAAACCATTAATCATCATTTGCCTGCCTGTTTTTTTGTGTGAAATATTAATTAAAATGTGTTTTTTTTTTCAGATCAACTGCTAATAAGACAAACTCAGAGACAAGAAGAGAGTAGTGTCACAGTCTTCGTCTGCACTATCCTGTCTGCGTCTCCAGCACTACACTTCCCAGGATCCTCTTGTCTCCACACCTGAACTCACTCCCTCATCAGCCTCCCGTTCAGCGTCCTGTATTCATCTGTTTCACCTGTTTTCACCTCGTTTAGTTTGATTCCTGTGTGTATTTAGTTCCTTCCCATTCAGTCTGTCCTTGTCGGTCGATGTTAATGTCACCCTGTGTTTCGCCTGCCTGGTTCCTGTTAATTTGAGAATAAACCTTTTGTATTGGAGCCTTTCTGGACTCTGCCTGTTCGTCCGTCTGCCTGAACCCGCACCCGTGACAGATCGACCGACCCCCAAAAAGGGATTAATATGGATTTAGCCGCTGTACAGCTTCTCCTCCTTGGAGCAGGAGGATCAATCCCTCGAGGCCCACACACAGAGGTATTTGGATTTGGTACCTCATGTTCACTATGATGTTACCAGCCTCTGTGTGAGACGGGCCTCGAGGGGACTTTGCGGCCTATGTGGAGTGGGTGCTGGTGTCATGTGGATCTCCCTTTACCCTGTATGACGTCACCAGCCCCACTCCATCGCTCGAATGCTCTCCAGAGACTGAATGCTCTTCACCGCTGGTTCCGTCCAGCTCTCCAGAGATTGAATGCTCTTCACCGCTGGTTCCGTCCAGCTCTCCAGAATCTGAATGCTTTTCACCGCTGGTTCCGTCCAGCTCTCCAGAATCTGAATGCTCTTCACCGCTGGTTCCGTCCAGCTCTCCAGAGTCGGAATGCTCTTCACCGCTGGTTCCGTCCAGCTCTCCAGAATCTGAATGCTCTTCACCGCTGGTTCCGTCCAGCTCTCCAGAGTCGGAATGCTCTTCACCGCTGGTTCCGTCCAGCTCTCCAGAGATTGAATGCTCTTCACTGCTGGTTCCGTCCAGCCCTCCAGAGACTGTATGCTCTTCACTGCTGGTTCCGTCCAGCCCTCCAGAGACTGTATGCTCTTCACTGCTGGTTCCGTCCAGCTCTCCAGAGACCGTCCAGCCAGCGCCAGAGACCGTCCAGCCAGCGCCAGAGACCGTCCAGCCAGCGCCAGAGACCGTCCAGCCAGCGCCAGGGACCGTCCAGCCAGCGCCAGGGACCGTCCAGCCAGCGCCAGGGACCGTCCAGCCAGCGCCAGGGACCGTCCAGCCAGCGCCAGGGACCGTCCAGCCAGCGCCAGGGACCGTCCAGCCAGCGCCAGGGACCGTCCAGCCAGCGCCAGGGACCGTCCAGCCAGCGCCAGGGACCGTCCAGCCAGCGCCAGGGACCGTCCAGCCAGCGCCAGGGACCGTCCAGCCAGCGCCAGGGACCGTCCAGCCAGCGCCAGGGACCGTCCAGCCAGCGCCAGGGACCGTCCAGCCAGCGCCAGAGACCGTCCAGCCAGCGCCAGAGACCGGGATCCCACCCAGCCTCCCTCTCCCGCCTCCTCTCATCTGTCCTCCCTCTGCTCTCCTGCCCTTCAGCTCCCCGAAACCAGCCTGGTTTGTGTATCCCCGGTCTTCGCCTCACACCTCCTCCTCTGAGACACTTCCTCGGCCCCCGGTCCCATCGGCTCCCCCGTGGCTGCTACCTCCCTCAGCTCCTCCATGGTCCCACAGTCTACCAGCTCGGCCAGGCTCCCTCGTCCCTCCGAACTCCCTGCACTCCCTCGTCATCCTCCCCTCACCTATGGACTTCCTTACTTTGGCTCCGCCCCGTTTCGTCACCCCTTCGGTTCAGTTGGACTCCTCACTCCCTCCAGTCACCCGTCAGCCCTCACGCACTCTGACCTCACCGTGTCCCTCTGTGCCCCTGTCAGCACTTCTGTCACCAGAGCCTGCGGTGTCCCCTTGCTCCCTCGGTCCCTCCTCAGCACCCATTGTCGTCTGTCCCTCAGCTACACCCTGGTCTCCCCTCCAATCCGTTCAGCGTCCTGTATTCATCTGTTTCACCTGTTTTCACCTCGTTTAGTTTGATTCCTGTGTGTATTTAGTTCCTTCCCATTCAGTCTGTCCTTGTCGGTCGGTCACCCTGTGTTTCGCCTGCCTGTTTCCTGTTAATTTGAGAATAAACCTTTTGTATTGGAGCTTTTCTGGACTCTGCCTGTTCGTCCGTCTGCCTGAACCCGCACCCGTGACAAGTAGTATGTTTTAATCTCATATTACCTCTGTATTGAGATTTAGAATCAGGCCTAATAGAGGGTGATTCGGTCAGTCTTGGTTGGAAACTGTTATGTCCATTTCAGTTGGATCATTTCAGTCCTTCCTTTGAGTCATGTTAAAATCTGTTTGATTTTTAATTGTTTTTGTATTTGGTCACTTGTTCTAGTCGACCTCGAATATGCCATTTTGCACGACTTGTAATTTCCTTAAATCGCTGCAACAAAGATAAAGAGAGTGCATGTTATCATGACCACAAGACACTTGTGGGAAATACCCTGGGTTAAAATAAACCATATTTATCAACATACATACCCTCTAATACTCACAGGTTGCTTTATTGCTGAAAAAAACAATATCAGTGACTTAGTGATTGAACTCTGTTCACTGTAAGTGCTGTTGGGCTTCTTCTAATCTTATGTTCAATGTAACTCATAGAGTGCTGTATGGTGGAGACAGACAAGAGGATAAAAAATGGACACTCATGTTTCAAGACGATATAGTCAAAGCTTTGAAAGATAAACTGAGAAGTCTATGAAATTCTAATGCATATGCAAATAAATACACATATTCCAACATGGATACAAAAATGTAAGTTAATCAGTAATATGTCATTGTTTAATGTGTTTATTCCGACTTTTTTCTGTTCATTAATGCTTCAACTTCATAACTATTTAAGTCAGTCATGAAACTACAGAAAAAGCAGGTATGTAAACCACTTTAATGCAGTAATTTGATAGATACAGCAGACATGTTGATCTGCTTTTTCATCAATCCCTTTTTAATCAATGCAGAAACACTATTGCAACTGCTTAAAGAGAAATAAAATAATAAAAGTCAATGACCAAAGCCCAACTAAAGTGAACACTGATCACCATAAGTGTGACTAAAGAAAACACATTCAATAAAACATCAACATCAAAACCTCGATAAGAACTTCGGTAGACATATGACAGAAATAAAGAAATAACTTTAATCACTGGATTTGTTTCAGTGTTACTTTAACACCCTTTAGATTGGACCCATAGATATTAGAAAAGTAGTGTTCATTTACACTGAGAATTTTGGTGTGAAGATTGTTGAGTTGTTAATAAAAAATTAAGTTGACAGAATGTTTCAGGAACATCATAAAACCTTAAAAAAACATTCCACTGACATTAAAAAACTGGACATTCCATTATAACCAAAACAGAATATTTGGAAAACATTCTTAGAACGAAACTTTGTTAGCCGGGACGACTGATTTTTTCTTTTTGGATCTTCTTAACCTCAAGAATGTGACATTGAGGAAAATCCATCAAACAAAAGAGCCATCCTGAAACATGTTCCTTTATCCTTTTGAAGTAAGGTTAAGGAAATACAATTCTGTTAAAAATAATAAACAATGTTTTTAAGAACATTAAAATGCATGTTTGTTAAATAGCATATCCTAGCTATTAATTATTTTATAGTACAGTTTAATTTGCTGGAGTGCTTTAGAATAAAAAAAACATCATTTGAGGATTAGCCATTGATTATGACAGATATATTAATAATTTATCATGAATACATGTTAGGACAGAAGACTGTAATGCTCTTCCAGTGGATTCAGGATTGTTGCTTTCGAAGCAAAAAAGAGTTTCCGGACTTGAATGTAGAGGTAACGGTCATGTAAGTCATCTTGGTTTCTTCCTCAGTGAGTAGATCTGATCAGACTGATGATGAGGAAGAACGCGATGAAGAGGTCATTAGAGTGTGGAGAGTGGGAAGGGTTCACGAAAACAGATGTCACACACTGACACAATCTCATGGTAGGTCGTAATTATTTTACGTTTTGGCAAACCGGTGGCTAATAGGTAAGAATTTGTGCATCGATCTGCTTATGCCACATTGATGGTTATGTTTGAGGTTTGGTTAGCTTGAAATTGTATGTTTTCACATTGCATGAATTCATACGAAGTCGCCACCTCGTAAAATAGTTGCGTTTCCCCATGAGATCGGGATAAACACACAGCTCCCAAAACAACACGTGCTAATTCAGCAATAAAAGGTGCTTCCAGCTGCTGGTGTTGTGATAGTATGTAAGTCCAGTATGTAGAAGAAACATTAGAAAAGAGTCAACTGCATGTACTGGGTTTTGTTAGTCTTTGAGGATGTGTTTTCCCCCTACAGCACAGCCTGTGCTCTTTCCTCTTCTTGTCGCTTCATGGCCTGGATCACTGCCATCTCTTTGGCCTCCTTTTTCTGGTTTCTTGCCTCAAACAGCAACCTGGCAGGAACAAGAGGGAACAATACTAGAGTTGCATTGGTACTTGTCCATTTCAACATCTCACTTGACCAGCCAAATATTACTTGCTTTCTATTGCTATTTTACTCAAACCTGACAGTGAATACTGCATTTCTACAACGTAATTTATAATTGAAATGTTTGGAGTTTTGCAAGTATAGACGCAACATTTTATCATTTAACATGACATAAAACTACTCCTGTTATGGGTTGTACAGTAAAATACATGGATAGGCTAAAACATGTCTAAAATTAGTTTTGTTGTTGTTGTTGTTGTTGTTGATGTAGTAATATACACAACAAAATCCCTAGTGTTAAATTAACACTCTGAGTTACTCATGTAAACACTGAAGCAGTGTTAAAGTTAATGAGATAATTAAGTGAATAATTGACTGATGATTGAGCATTATTGAAGACACCTGATGTTAAAGGAGAACTCCGGCGAACAATGAACCTTTGGTCTAATAAAACATCGGTACATAGTCAACCGTTCTCTGAGATTTGTTTTCATGATAATCGAATGTAAAGAGTTTTATCTCTAAAAACTGTTTAGCGTATAATGCTAGTAATGGGGGCATTGAGTAAGTAAAAAGAAATCGCTAGTTTATACCACTAACAAGACTCAAAATAGCCCCACACTAACGCAGTAACATAATGAGGCTCCAGACATACAAAACGAAGCATTGAGAACTTTGTAAGTGTACAGACCGTTTAATAAGAAGATACTTTATGAAGACAGTTCACTTCGTGTATACAGACAGGAGCCATCTTAAAAAATAGTCTCGATAAGTCAAACCACGAACGTCGTGCTGAGTGATCTGAACTGTATGAAGTTCGACGAACTTCTGAACTGTATGAACGGCGTTCGGGGATCGACTTATCGAGACTATTTTTAAGATGGCTCCTGCCCGTATACGCAAAGTGAACTGTCTTCATAAAGTATCTTCTTATTAAACGGTCTGTACACTTACAAAGTTCTCAATGCTTCGTTTTGTATGTATGGAGCCTCATTATGTTACTGCGTTAGTGTGGGGCTATTTTGAGCCTTGTTAGTGGTATAAACTAGCGATTTCTTTTTACTTAGTCAATGCCCCCATTACTAGCATTATACGCTAAACAGTTTTTAGAGATAAAACTCTTTACATTCGATTATCATGAAAACAAAACTCAGAGAACGATTGACTATGTACCGATGTTTTATTAGACCAAAGGTTCATTGTTCGCCGGAGTTCTCCTTTAACAAGTAGAATGTTTGGTAACACTTTATAATAACTACACGCTAATAATCATTAGTTAAGCATGAGTAAACCATTAATTCATCATTCATAAAGCATTAATAGACATTAATAAGCAGTTCATAAATACATCTATAAATGCTTTCTTCTTGATTTAAAAGCATATCTATAATTTGTTTAATAATTGTATTTTCATCCTTTATTAATGATCAATTTATCATTTCTAAATGAAGAATTGCATTTTTATGAAACAGTTATTTAAGAGTTTTCAGTGGTTCATACGATTACTTAGAGCGAGTAAGTAAATGATTAATAAACTGTTTAAATGTACATTCATACATCTTATTATTCAGACATATAGTGATGGTTACTTAATGTGTTAATAAATGCTTTATTCACATGTATTAATGCTGTAATTAAGGGTTAATTTGGGTTGTTATAAAGCATTTAGTAGTGGTCAGTTAACTATGTTCGTGAGCTCATCTAAAGTGAGGACTAGTCATGCCTTGTAAAGCATTTTTAAAGGCTGTTAAATATTTCTATGTTCTGTATCACTGCGTTTTGTTTGTTACGTTTTACTGTTTAGAAGATTGACGAGTCTTTAAATCACCTTTATAAATGCTTTACAAAGCATGAATAGTCCTCACTTTAGATTAGCTCACAAAAATAGTTAACTAACCACTACTAAATGCTTTATAACTACCTGTATTTACTACATTTACTTACTCTTTCTAAGTGATCTTATGAATGACTGACAACTCTTAAACAACTGGTTTGTAAATAATGCTATACTGCATTTAGAAATTATTAATTGATCATTAACAAAGTATGAAAATACAATTATTAAACGCATTATAGATATGCTTATAAATCAAGAAAAAAACATGTATAGCTATATTTATAAACTGCATATTAATGTCTAGTAATGTTTTATACATGATGAATTAACTGTTTACTCATGCTTAACTAATGATTAATAGCGTGCAGTTATTATAAAGTGTTACCGAATAAGGTAATTTTAAGTCACCATTATGGTGATCCGTGTTTGCTTTTAGTTTGCGCTTGACCCTTAAATCATTAACTTTAGGTTTTGTTTGGCTGCTGTACAGGAGTTGTAACAGCCAGGTGAACAAATAGAAAAGGTGATCTGACGGGAAACATTTTAAAAATAAAACGTGCATAACTTTCAAATGATGTGTGTTCTCAAAATGTAATATCCACAGTATGGATTGCAGCACCTGTTTTTGATGATCCTCTGCACAATGTTGTCAGTGGTGAGACTGTTTCCACTATCCACTGTCCGCAATATTCCCATTTTCCTGGGTACCTGTGTGTGGAAAACATGCACAGATGATCAAATGTTGTATTGTGCTGTATTTTGAGTAATTATTGATGTGGCACTTACAGCATATGGGTCTGATCCATCTCTGTCTAGAAACACTTCAGTTTCGCCATGGCACACCAGGTCTACCTACACCATGAATACAGTGTATTACTCCATGGCCCCGTTAACACAGGCAAAAGGTTGTCTCAATCTCAGATGGCATGACTGCACTCTGGCAACACCATTAAATGACCAGGTCAAAGTTTTAGTTCTTACTGTAATCTATTGTATGTTGCTGTAAAGATACCATGCACTAAATGATGATTATGAGCATTAGTGATGAACACCTGCTGTTAACAAGCAGAATCACCGAAGGAAAGAGGAAAACAAGAACAGAAAAAAAGAAGAGACGAGCAGAAACACAAAATGACTTCCAGCCATTACACAACCAGTGTTGATGTTCAATTGAAAATGTTTGGTTAAATGCCACCATTATGGAGGATCTGTGTTTGTTTTAGTTGGGCTCTTGACCCTTAACTGTTTAACATCCTTTTTTTGTAACATATTTGTTATGGGAAAGAAAAGACAATGATCATCGAATGCTAAATGTTGCATATTGGTAATGATGACCAACAAGTAGCAATAGATTCATTGATCTCACCCAGTATTTAATCCCTTATCTAAATTATCACATTATTAAGATATTCATATTTACATTACCACTACTTTAAAACAACAGCAAGTGTTCCAGTGGCATACAGTTATAATTAAGAGTTTTGATTAAAACACCATAGAGCTACAGCCTCATTTAGCACATGAATCTCAACAATGGTGGCAATATAAAAAGACCATTCAGTTTATTCATGCTGCAGTGCATGCTGGGAGTTTTGTACTATTCTGGTAACATTGTGACATGAAACTTTCGATTGTCACCATTGTTGAGATTCATATACTGATTGATTGTTGATGTCTGTGTGTTCAAGTCATGCAATAGATCATATTGGTTTTTGCACTTGGTTTTTGCACATTTGGTTTTTGAATGAAGTTTTTGATATTCTCAAGCTTTTTCTTGCCTTAATAAATGTTATAAACTCACTGTCAAATCTGTTAAAGAAAAACTAATGTTAAAGTGTCAAGAGCCCAACTATCAACATAATGGTGACTACGCACTTTATTATTTTCAATAAAACATCACCATCTAAATCTCTGTTAATTCTCATCAAGAACTTTTATACATGTATGAAAATAATAATGTTAAAACTGGTTTGTAAATTGGTTTCACACTAATTGATGTGGCTGGAAGTCAGTTCTTGTGTTTCTGCTTGTCTCTGCTCTTTTTTTCTGTTCATGTCCTTCAGTGATTCTGCTTATCAAGTGTTCATCAGTTTCTGAATTCACTCACTTCTCCGTTGACTATATTAGTGAACTAATGTAGGGAATAGTGAATGATGGTATAAAGGGTGTTATTTTAAACACAGCCTCCGAGTATCGACTTTTAGCGCTGTTAATTCACAGTATATTCCTGTAGGCTATTTTCTCTAAAATGACAAATGAAGAGTTCAGATGCAAAAGCCTCTAAATGCCATTTGAAATTTTCTTCTAGAAAGATCATTTTTAGCTTGTATATTTAAGTTCAGTGATTTTACTTAAATGGCAATGATAATTACCTATTAATTGTTATTTAAGTGAAATTACTGAACTTAAATATACAAGTTTGATAAAAATCATCATTAAAGAAGAAAATTTCAAATGGCATTTAGAGGCTTTTGCATCTGAACTCTTCAAATGTTACCATGAATGCATTGTTTTCAACGGTACATTACTGTTTTAATAAATAAAAAATTGTATGATAACGTCAGAATATGGCATTTTTTACAGTTAGCTTTTACAGTGTGGCTGATATGGCTACACATTTTCCAACTCTGTCAAGCAGGTCTGACTAAAAGTCAGAAGTCAAATTCAACACATTAAAACAAGGGGATACCTTAAAATGGTCCAGTAAGTCTTTTGTTACAGCATATGGTGCTCCTATAACAACCTCAGAGACATACTGAGAGATATGAAAACAAAAGAAAGAAATTCATATTACACAATTAATTTCAAGACATAAACAGGCATTAACTGCGATCAGATCAACACTCACTCGACAGGCCAGCACACTCAGAGTTCTCTCATGGATGTTCATGATGGGATAGTTTTTTCCCTTGTAACGATTGACCTCCTAAAATAATAGTAAAAAGCATACAAACATGCAGTTACTCCTGCTTCTCACACATCTCTTTCAATAATAATAAGCAATATGCTCAACTGAGAAAATAATTTTTGTATATATATATATATATATATATATATATATATATATATGTATATATATATATATATATATACATATATCTCCCAGATAGCAAATATTGTGATGGCCCAGATTCGGCCCACATTTGGCACATGTGGAAAGGTGATCTGGTTACCATTTGATGTTTCAAAATCATCCCGAAATAGCAGTATCTAGTGATGTCATTTGAATATAATTGCATCAAACTATTTTTTTTTTGCCATTAATACTTTCACAATGAAATTGTGATGATATTTAAATCCATGATAACCCCTGTAAAATCATCTAACTTTTTGCTGCAGTAATGTACATATGTCAAAAACATAATTTGCAATGTAGGCCAAATGCATTAATGGAACAAATTAATTATTAGATTCAAATGAGATTAGTGAAACAGGCTAATTTGTGATGATTATAAAACCATCAACTGGCAATAACCATCACCTGATCTCATCTCATCTCTGAGTTTTCTTTGCTACTGCAAATATTTAACAAATGCACTGTCACAGTAGCCAAAACTGTGAAAAAAAAATATCTTCAGTTGATTTCATCTAAGGCCGTGGCTGAAGTCAGTTGTAGTTTCTCTTTCCTTCAGTGATTCTGCTTGTTAACAGCAGGTGTTCATAATTACTGCTCAATCACCACTAACTTCAATACTGCTTCAATCATACTTTCACACAGTAGTGTGCACACACTGAGCAGTGTTAATTTTACATGGGCATAATTTTCTGTGTACTATTACAAAAATCTTACCCATTTCATTTCACGTATGACTGACAAATATGAATCACAATTCAGTTTATTAAATGGATGGAAATTTGATATGCAATTGAAATACATAGATCTTAGACATCAATTTTTTTTTGAGTGAATGTTGCTATCTGGGATATATAGTATCAAAGACTTTGCTGTATCTAGCCTACCTGATCAAAGTGCAACCCAACGATAACATATGGCTTCTCTGAAAGCTTGGACACTGCATCCAGGAAATCCACATGGCCGATGTCTGATGTGAATTGGGTCAAAAAGGATAACGTTAACATTGTCATCGCCTCACATGCATCCAAAGTAAGGTGGAAAAGAACACAAGGCTCTCAATAAGTGTTTAAAATATCCATTTTGTTACCGGCTTTCATGAAGTAATTGACAGCTGCTAATTATACAACTTTCCAAGCAGACTGTAATAGTCTCCTGACGATGTTGTGAGTAACCGGTGCCACCAGATCTTCTGCTGACATACCTTAAATGAGTAATTTACAATAAAATTCAGTCGTTTTGATTCTGTCTGTTCTGTGTGTGAGCCATCAGAACTCATACCTTGTTATTTAGTGACCTCAGAGCAAACAAAGTATGTCAACATGACATCAGGACAGTCATATTTTGGTTGAAAAGTTGGGTTGACATCTAAACCCAAAGTTTGTTTGACGTCAAGCTTCAATGTTAGACATTAAATTTTGGTTGGAATAAGCACTGCACTGCAAAAAAGGTTGAAATGCATTGGCAGCACATTAAATCTCTGAAGACCTCAGCGGAGGAGGAATAAACCACAAAAACAGTGTTACCACTTCACTTATTACTAACCAGACTGTTTTTATTTCTATCAGACGTCTACAGAAGCTCTTATTGAGATTAACAGAGGTTTAGATGTTGGTTTTATTGAATAAAGTCACCATTATGGTGATCATCATGCCTCGTTTGATATTCCATTAGTTTTCCACTAAACATTTTGAACTCTAGCATCTATAAGACTCACTCAGACATCAATAATCAGCATATGAATCTCAACAATGGTGACATGTTTGATGCCACAATGCATTCTGGAGCCTTAGATGGAATGCATTGTGGCATGAAGCATGTCACCATTATTGAGATTCATACGCTGATTCTTTAATGTCTGTAACTAAACATTTTACTGCACAGTTCCTCAGATTAGATCTCTGCTGGACAATCAATAAAAAAAGTGAAATTAATAAAATGATACCTGAATTATGAAATTATTCAAAACATGATCAGTGAATCAAACACAACATGGTGATCATATCTATATTATCATCATCAAGTAGCAATAGTATTATCATCATCAAGTAGCCAATAGTATCTGTACATAATTGATCTTGCAGATCTTGCCATAACTTACATCAGCAAGAGAAAAACTAATGTTACAAAGTCAAGTCAAACTGCACAACTAAAACAACACTGATCACAATATGGTGACTTCAAACGAAACATCTAAACCTCTGTTAATTGTCAACAACTTCTGTAGACGTCTGACAGAAATAAAGTCAATCTGGTAATAATAAGTAAAGCTGGTAATAAGTGTACAGCCATGCATTTCACCTTTTTTAAAGTTTTTTTTTTGTGTGTGTGTGTTTATTCCCATCTGAGCTTGACGTCAAACAAACTTTGGATTTAAACATCAACCTGACTTTTTTTTTTTCAACCAAAATCCAACGTCATATTGTGCTTGCTGGGAATATTCCCTTCCACCAGATTTTTAAAATCAATATATTGATTTTAACAGCCCCAGTCTTCATTATAGAAAAGATAACTGGATATTTTACAGTATTTGTTCTCTTGGGTTTAACAGGGGAACTTTGGGAGTAGTAAGTCTGTATACGGAACTGTTTGCCACTGAAACTGCTTAACGCACAAGTGGGGCTCGACAGCCTTTTAGACAAACGGGTCGGCGCGTATGGTTGGGTTGCGGAGAGTTCGGGTTGCGGAGAGTTTGTAAGATAGTGGTTTTCTAACACTGACTGGAAATCATTATGAACATCAGCTATTCTAATTATTTCCCATCTGCCTTTCTGCTGTTATCTCGGGACGCTTTTCCCGAGAAAAATGGCGTTCGTCAGGTCCAGTTTTGTGGAAAGCCTCTCACGGGGATTCGGACGCCCCAACGCCTGTGATGAGAAGACCAACGCCTGTGAAGAGACGACTCAACGCCGGCGATATGTTATGGCGCCGTTAACAATATTTATATTTAATATTAAAATCATTCAAAAAAAATTAAATTCATATTGTTTATATATAAATATATATAAACAATATGAATGTAAGCCAGAGGAGAACTGGCCCCTGTGTTCTCCCAAGGTTTTTTTCTCCCTCCAATCTGATGGAGTTTTGGTTCCTTGCCACTGTTGCCGTGCTTTTGGCTAGCTTTTGGCTTGCTCAGTTGGGGATATTTAATATTTAACAATATTATTGATCTGTGTTGTACTACTTTCATGTTATCACTGTGAAGCTGCTTTGATACAATCTGTATTGTGAAAAGCGCTATATAAATAAATGTGATATATAAATAAGCAAATAAGCAAATAAATGCGCTATATAAATAAATTGACTTTACTTATTATTACCAGATTGACTTTATTATATATATGACTTGACTTGACTTAAGTATTGTCTGTAAACATGAAAGGATACGGAACAGGTCGAAAGCTCCCGCCACATAGATGATGGTGTCTCCCGGCTGCGGCTCCTGGCCCGAGGCAAACTGGATGATTTTCTGAGACGTCTGCAGGAACTGTGACACTCCTGTCCAGGGACTGTGGCCCTTAGGACCCTGTGGCCAACGGTATACAGAAATGATAACAAACAGACATTACTGCAATATATGCCAAATGAGGGGTTACGATGAAATCATTCCTCTTTCAGTGACGTCACTTACAATCTACCAGGTTTAGAAGTGCTTTCTACATCATTGGCGTATGCGAATTTTTAATTTTTTTGCCAATGTTGTGTTTAGAACTCTTTTTACGCCATTGACAGAATTTTCCAGCTAACCGTGTTTTCACTGTTATATGCTAGGGGGCGCTATTACACATCTTCTGAAAGAGTACAGAAAATCTCCTGATCAAAACCCAGGAGAAGACGATAGCAGACGATACCTTACGGAAAAAAAAATATATGGGAATATACTTCAAAATATAATGCGATAAATTACATAATACATTTCTATATATGGGTGCTTACATTTATCATTATACTGCAATATTTGCATTGACCATGTATGGCTGTATATAATGAATATAAAATATTTATAAAATTTATAAAAGACAAAAATATCATTACATGTAATATTCACAAAGTTTTATCCTTTATTGTGTACATATATTGCACATACATGTTCCCATATAAATGTGAATGTATGTTCACACATATATGCTTTGCTTCTGCCTGTTATATAAGAGCAAATGTTGAAATGAATTGTGAAAATTAAGTGTTATTTAATGTTTTTTTGCTCAATATTAATATAGGGGGATATCTGTTAGTTTTTAATGCTGTATTATTTTTTAATTTAAAAGGTTTTTCTGGTGTGTGTGAGAAATGTAAATAATTTAAAGAAATATATTACATTAAATATTTCTCTATAAATGTGTTTATGTTGCATGAGTAAATATATCTGCAATATATTACAAATGCAGTACCACATATACATCTAATGTATATATTATGAAGTATTACTGAAAATAAAATTGCATACGTTATGATATATTAGTAAATATATTGTCACATATTTTTCAATTCTTATGTATTATTCAATTTATTGTAATATATTAACACAATATATTATTCTGTATATATTTTCAAATATAGAAGTGCAAATGTATAAATGAATTTAAACATTTAAACTGTTTAATATATTGATAACTCATATATGGAAATATATTTTTGTTCCGTAAGGGTAATCGCATAATGTAACATAACACAGTCATCAACATTAAACAGCATGCATACGTAACGTTACTGAATGAAATGTTGACCCAGAAAGGGTGTTGTTGATGGACTGATTGACTCCATCAATGTTTTTATCATTATTCTGAAACTGAGATCTTCTTGACATAGAAGTAAAGCTGATTTTCTCAGGTTTTTGCTCAAAATGTTCATTTTTAATGGCACTTACGCACATTCAAATGTTAATTTAAAAAAAATGCACAAAGCAAGAATAAAACGCTTTTTTGTGTATGTTTAAAGCAGAGTTCTTTCTTTTGATATTCTGGGAGCCGTGAAAATTTTGTGAAAAATTTAAAGATAAAAAATGCTGGCGCTGGCTGATAACTTAAAAAAAAAAAAAAAAAAAAAAAACAATGGCAGGGAAAGAGTTAATCGCTGATATACAATCATTTAAATGAATTATATTGTTTACTATACTGGTTATTTATCCCTTTGTGTTTATGGCTATCTAACTATAGCCAACCATGATCTTGAATACATAAAGCAAATTAGAAACAGAATGGTATTTACTGTCTTTGGTTTATTATATCACTTACACATTGAAAGTTTGAAACCACTGTATAGTTCACCATCCCTGATTGTGATACTCCAGCCAAAAATGATTTTACTCACCCTCATGCCCTCGTCCCAGATGTATATGGCTTTCTTTCTTCAGATGAACACAAACAAAGATTTTTAGAAAAATAATCCATCTTTGTGAGTCCACATAAGGACCTCTAAAGTGAACCACACAAAATGAATATGACAGTAATCCTTTTGACCCAAGTTGATGTAAAAAAGCAAAATGGTAGCTTTGCGTCAGAAAAATACTAATATTTTAAACTTTTTAAACTATAAACCATCACTTCCAGCCATCTGTTATGCATTTTTTATTTGTGTCAAGTGTACGTGACATCACTGACAGAGGAAGTTATTCTCTGTTTCTACAAGAAGAGCCAAAGTTAATAAAACACTCACTCTTCCAAAGTTGTCTGTGTGTTGTTGATAGTCTGAACTGCCCTAAAGAGGAAAGAAGGATAAAGAAATAAATGTCCATTGAAAATACAAGTTTGAGGTCTCAACGGTTTGTGGTATCTGACGCTCACACACTTGTATTATTCGTGTGTGTCTGTGGCCTCACCATGTTGCTGTGATGAGCTTTGGTCATGAGAAGCATGCGGCCCACCAGGTCAGTAGTGGACACTCCCTGAGTCCTCTTACACTCTCTGCAAACATCAACTCTGGTGAGAACCGGACTAAACGTGCACAAAACCAACAGCAGCATTAAAGCCAGCTGTGTGACAGGCTTACCTGTACCTACCAGAACTTTTCACTTCTTCATATGTGTCTTTTCCATCCACAGTAAGAGTGATGTCATCTGTGAAGGCAGAACCAAACTTAAGCGTATTCAAATGTGAACTACTGTAAAGTTTCCTAAGGACTTTAGTGGAAAAAAATGCATTTTAAAATCAAGTGCTTCTTATTGTAGGTAGCCCTACATGAAGTGGCATAAAGGCTGATCCCAGCTGGTGTGATTATGTGCCCAAAATATTATGCATGGAGGATCAAAACTAAAGCCATGAACTATTGAAGGGTTATTTCCAGAGGACAATAATGATGGTCTGAAAACCGTCAGCTTTTTACTCAAATGCAGGACATGCATATGTAATTTGAACAAGTTGTTGACAATGAAATTTACAGTCTCAAAATATTAAACACAAACACTATTAATTTTAAGGGCCCTATTTTAAGGATCGGCACAATGCACTTTTGGCGTTTCCAAATTCAATTTTGCTAGTTTGACGACGGGAAAAATAGTTGGTGCTCCCGGCGCATAGTCTAAAAGGGTCATCCCGACTCTCTTAACGAATAATTGGTGTGTTTTGGGTGTAACATGCAATAAACCAATCACAAAGCACAATCCCCAGTGTAAAATTAACACTGAGAGTGTGAATTATACAAACTCTGAGCAGAGTGAGCAGAGAAAACCGGATATTTTAAGTCACCATTGTGGTGATCAGTATTGTGTTAGTTGGGCTCTTCACCTTTAAATCAATAATTTTAGATTTTTGTTTGGCTTCTGTACCAGCCAGATGAATAAATAGAAATGTGTTTGGTTTGTGTTTTAACATAATCATTAATTGACCTGAATTACTGAACTCATTGAGGGCATTATTTCCATTTATTTATGTTTATCTTATGGGTTTTAGCACCACTGTCCTTGCAGAGCATACAATGAAATCCAAATGAAATCAATGAAATTCAATGAAATCCAGATAGTCAAATCATTTAAGAAATTTTATTTTTTTCTTGCTTGTAGGCACACACAGTCATCCACAATTAGAGTATGATTCTTAGCAATTGTTGACAAACAGATCACCTCTAAATATAAGCTCAGAGGTGATCTATAACACAAATTTATTCATGCAGCAATGCATGATGGGAGCCATGAATGAATTTTGATTGGTGGCACCCAGAATGCACTGCAACATGCTTTATAATTGTCACCATTGTTGAGATTCACAGGCTGATTCTTGATGTCTGTTTAAAAAAAATCATACAAGGAATTATTTCTATTACATTGTGAAAGTCAAAAAAATTATGGTGAACAAGGACAGTGCTAATGTAATTAATTAAGTAAACCTGATTCATAAATTAGGCTATGAGTTTAGTGATTCACGTAAATGATTGTCAAATAATGACTATGTTAAAACACAACCAACACCATCACCATACCCTGTTCTATTTGTTTATCTGGCTGTTATAACTCAGGTACAGCAGCCAAACAAACTTTGCTGACTTCATCAACACTTTAGCACAGGTTATTTAGCACAGGTTATTATACTTAAACTCTGACCTCCATGAACACAGAAATCACATGTGTATTTGTCCAGAGTCTCGAGTGTGGTCACGTATGGAGCTCCTTCTACGATCTCATCCACCCACTTGATGGCTCGCACCATCTTATATCTCTCCGCCTGAGTGAACACTGGAGGACCTTTGTGCTTAGAGATCTCATCTGCACAGAGGGAGAGAGAGAGAGAGAGAGAGAGAGAGAGAGAGAGAGAGAGTTTACATTGTGCAATTCTGAGTATATTTCTAATTATATCATCCAATTCTGACTTTATAACAAAACTGTGAATTTATATCACGAAAACATGACTTTATAATGCACAGTTGCGATTTTATATCATTAAATTATGACTTTATAACACACAATTGCGACTTTACATCACAAAATTATTACTTTATAACGCAGTTACAATTTTATATCATGAAATTATGAATTTATAACGCACAATTCCGACTTTATATCATGAAATCATGACTTTATAATGCACAGTTGCAACTTTATATCATGCAATTCTAAATTTATAACACAATTGTGACTTTATATCACGCAATTCTGACTTTATAACGCAATTGCGACTTTATATCAGGCAATTCTGACTTTATATCATGGAATTCTAACTTTATAACAGTTGCAACTTTATATCATGAAAATCTGACTTTTAACACAATTTGGACTTTATATCACACAATTCTGACTGTATAACACAATTGCGACTTTTTATCACAAAATTCTGACACTCCAACATGCAATGAATGTGAGTTTTTATCAGGCAATTCTAATTTTATAACACTCAATTGCGACTTTATATCATGCAATTCTAACTTTATAACACAATTGTGACTTTATATCACGCAATTCTGACTTTATAACGCAATTGCGACTTTATATCAGGCAATTCTGGCTTTATATCATGCAATTCTAACTTTATAACAGTTGCAACTTTATATCATGCAATTCTGACTTTGTAACACAATTGTAACTTTATATCATGCAATTCTGACTTTTAACACAATTTGGACTTTATATCACACAATTCTGACTGTATAACACAATTGCGACTTTTTATCACGAAATTCTGACATTACAACATGCAATGAATGTGAGTTTTTATCATGCAATTCTAACTTTATAACACTCAATTGCGACTTTATATCACGCAATTCTGACTTTATTACACAATTGCAACTTTATATCATGCAATTCTGACTTTATCACACAATTGCGATTTTATATCACACAATTATATCATAAAATTCAAATTATGATTATGTCAAAACATAACCAACACCATCTGATCAACTAATCAAAAGAAAATCTAATGTTTACTAATGTTAATAGTCAAGAGCCCAACTAAAGAAAACCAATCACAATAGGGGATTATATAGGGGACACAATAGGGGAAGCTTCCGGGTTTCATGGGCGGGATTTGTAAACTTTGTGCATGTTCACTTCCGTATGAATTCAACAATGCCTGAGACGAATGCTATTTATGTCACTGCTCTGTTCCACTTTGTAAATCTAACCAACAACGCCAACCCTACTTATGTTTTCATGGATTCCAGACTGTATTGAGTATAAGGAAGAAATTGATTAAAACTTTAAAATAAAACAAGGTAGCACGTTTGTTTGCAGCCGGCACTTTAGTGAATCAGACTAATTTACCAGGCATGCCGTATAAATAAACTTAGTGTAGTCCTTCATCAGTTCGCCAGCGAGATCGGTGATTCAACGGAAGTGGCAGTGCAACAAAGATCACAGAATCCGGAAGTACTACGTATCATTTAACTGTAACACACTTAACACTGGTGTTTTTGCTTTGTACCACAACCTTTAAAAGAAAGGGTACATTCTTTTAATGCTTCGGAACATATATGTATCTTGAGGTCCAATAATAAGCCATATGTGGTATATTAGTGTAGATTGTACCTTAGGGGACAAACATTGACTTCTACTGTACCCCTTTTTCTGACAGTGTAGGATACATCCTTAAATATAGGCCTAAAGGTTCTTTATTAATGGTTCCATGGAGAACCTTTAACATCCATGGAACCTTTCCGTCTCTTAAAAGGATTTTAAGATTTTTTAAATGTTCTTTACACTAAGAGAAAAAAATGTTGTTCTTAAAAGAACATTTTTGGTTCCCCAAAAAGAACCTTTCAGAGGAAAGGTTCTTTTTGGGGAACCAAAAATGGTTCTTCTGTGGCATCCCTGCAAAAACCCAATTTTTTTAACTTTTATTTTGAGCCAAGACAATGCTGTTATGCTATAATGTGTATATTTTTAATTTAAGTCATGAAATTAAAACTTAATTCACACACAAGTCTGCTTAAGTAATATTAAAACATTGAGAACTAAATTGTGTCAGCAAATAATCAGAGTTTATTTATCAAACAAAGAACAAATGGGGTTATTGGTTTTCAGATTGAAAACTAAAAGTCTAAAACTAAAAGTCTTAAACGAAAACTAAAAGTCTAAATGTGAAACATTTAAACAAAGCACGACTATCATTATGTCAGTCATAATTATGACATAATGTCAGTCAAGCATCACTGTGTTAAGTGTGTGTGTGTGTCCTCACCGTCAGTGTGCACTCCAACAATGAGGTAGTCCCCCATAGCCTTGGCTTGTCGAAGTTGGTTGGAATGACCATAATGGACCATGTCATAGCTAAGAAGAAGGGAAGATGAATGAAGACAGATGTTAAGGAGGCTAGAAAGATGGTAGCATTTGACCCAAGCCAAACACTCTGTTGATATAGGTCATCTTGGGTGTGTGGAAAGATTATGATTAAAATCGTTTTGATATCCACAAATAAATAGTTTAAAGTAGAAAGCAAATGAAAAATCAAATCTACATCTCTATCTACAGAGGTGTAAAGTCCAGGTTTAGAAAGTAAAAGTCTTAAGAGCTCATGGTGAGATCACTGTGAGAACAAATTTGTTATTTCTATGGACTTATTGATAGTCTGGGCTTTGACTATTTATTATTTTGAAGCCATTGGAAGTGATGTGAGAAGTAAATGTAAGTGATGAAAGAGAAGTAAAATAAGATTGTTAGTATATACTATGTGTTGATGTGAACAACTGCCAACGTTGGCCTGGCTCTGCTGTATCTTCAGTATCACAGCAGCACTGGCCATGAGCATCAAATATTTACTACTGAAACAGGTTTGCCATTTTCTGGCACCCAAACTGCAACTGAGCTCTGCGTGTTTGACTAGGATGCCATCACACCAGCAGAGTGTGCAAGCTCTATGAATTTGATGTATTTTTTTTACAGTATTATAGTAATGGGAGTCTAATAAGGATCATCAAGTGCAAAATTCAGATTATGGTAATGTAAAGGGGGGCGGGCGGGTGATGTTTTCGTGTTCAAAAAATTTTAATCTCAAATGTCTTAAAATACATTTTAAGCTTGTCTTAAGTTTGGAGATGTTTTAATGTACTATCTGAGATTCTCAGCAGAGCACATGCTAGCACTGATGAAAGATTTTGTGATTGATTGACCATCGTCAGCTGACCATGTCATGTGGTGAATGCACATTACGACATGCTTGCTTATTCTTTAGAGGTCAATCAAACCCATTGACACTGCTGTTAAAAGCAGTGGTGTAGTGCAGGGTATATGCAGTCAGCATTGTGTATACCCACTTCCAAATCCCCTCTGATGCGCATCATTTAGTTGCTAATCCAATCTCGTGAATAAAAAACACCCAGTTAGGGTCGTACCCCTTATATTAACTCTTATTTGTTGCTGCAATGATTCTCCCATCGTGACGATAACTGAATTTCTCAGCACTCAATTACAACACAAGCACCCTATTAAATATACAGCCATTATTATTGTATATATATATATATATATATACACTCTAAAAAATGCTGGGTCGTTTTAACCCAATTTTGGGTCAAATATGGACAAACCCGAAATGTTGGGTTAAAAATGTAATGTAAAAATTTAACCCAACGGCTGGGTTAGTCCATATTTGACCCAAAGTTGGGTTAAAACAACCCAGCATTTTTTAGAGTGTATATATATGAATGTGTTCGACTTCTCAACGTGCCCCCCAACCCCCCTAGCAATTTAATTGATGGACCTAGGTATTAAGAAAACCCTATGTACGGCCCTGATATGCAAGAATATAGTGATTCTTTATGTTCCATTGTATTCATCATATTCAATAGTCTTGCATTCAATACTTACATGTCACTGTTTATAACACAGAACATCCTTTGCTGGGACGCTTAAAAAAATATTGGGGGCATAAATTAAGAGTATACCCACTTCTGCAGGCACCACTACATCACTGGTTAAAAGATAACCCGACTACCCTTTGTTTTACTTTATCACATAACATGCTATTTATAGTTGTCTTCCTGAAGGGTTTGTCTGCCCATCCACTGTCTTTGTGCTGACTAAGTGCTGACCATTGCTCAACAGCAGTGGTGGAGGAATACTGAATCTCAGTACTTAAGTAAAAGTACAAATACCCAGATAAATATTTACTTTAGTAAAAGTAGAAGTAACACAATGACAACCATACTTAAGTAAAAAGTACTTTATTTTAAATGTACTTTAAGTATTAAAAGTAAAAGTACTTGCATAACAATTGATTCTCTTAATGACTATTTTCTAATGATTAATAAAACATTTAACTCTAACTCATTCAACCTAATACTCCTATAATGATGTTCAATAATGATGGAAAAAAATGTCACCATTTCTGAAACAAGCTTGCAATTAGGCAATATCGTGCTTATCCTTACTATATGTTTATAACTATGTTTGGCAGTAAACGCGATTCATTTATGGTGTAATTCTGAACCTCTTGGCTTGCCATAATCCTAACCGAACCAAACATATATTACACACGGTGTGTTTCCTATGCACGTAAAAACAAATTTTCGCGTATGAGTTGCATGATAAACACACTGCGTGCGAGACGCATTTAGTGTGACCGGGTTGATATACTGTATCTATGGCAACCAAACGTCACTGGTGAGACAAACGTGCAACGAACGGATGGTCAGATTACGTTTTGGCAGGGGAGAAAAACTGATCAGAAAATGTAACGAAAATGTATCAGAAGTTGTAGAAATGTAGTGGAGTAGAAAGTATAATAATTGCTGCAAAATGTAACGAAGTAAAAGTAAAAAGTATGCACCATTTATTCTACTTAAGTAAAGTAAAAATACGTGAAAAATGTACTTAAGTAAAGTAACGAAGTATTTGTACTTCGTTACATTCCACCACTGCTCAACAGGGGCTTAATGTGTTCTTGATCGTCAAATATTATGTGAGCTCTCTGCCCTGGTATGGCAGAGAGGGGTTAAATGACATTTTACTATGGAGTTCAAGCAGACATCCTGACAATTCAGGGTTGGTGATGCACTTTTTTTATTGTAAAAAGTGCTTTATAAAAAAATTTGACAACTTGACTAATACTTTGCTTACAATAACATTTACATCACAATCACATCTGGCACTTGTGGAATACTGATCTGGCCCACAGCGTTGAATGATGGCCCTTGGGCTCCTGTTTGCCAGATCTGGGCCACAAGTAGGCCATAGCAATGCCATATGTGTCACAGACTAGAAGGACACAGATGGATGAGTATAACCAGGTTTATTGAGACAGGTGGTATGATAGACAGCTGGTAAGTATGTAATGGATAAAGTTCGGTTCAGGAGCGGGAAACAGTCTGATAATGGATTTCTTATCTTTAGCAGGGCTGGAAGTAGGTGAGCGGAGGCAGCGGACGGATGACCAGAGGAAGACCGGGGATCAGGAGCGGAAGAGAAGCAGACGGGGCTGAATGAAGCGGGTAAGTATTCCTTTGTAGTAGGCAGTAGCGTAGCGGGAGTCTGTAGCCGATGTGTCGACGAGACCAGACGGTGAGTGACTGTGAGGAGTGAGTTTATAAAGGGAGGATGATTGGGACGGTGATTTAAGCGGGCAGGTGACAATGATTAGAATGCTGGAGAGCTGGAACGAGTGGGCGGAGTGAAGGTGTCTGGTGCTGACGCAGATGGATCCGTGACAGTACCCCCCCCCCCCCCACGGCCAGCTCCAGCTGGCGGACGGGACCGACGACGGGGACGACCACGGCTCCGGGGCGCTGGGCGATCTGGATGGGTGGTGTGGAAGTCCTGGAGTAACGAGGGATCCAGAATGTCCTCCCGATTGACCCAGCATCTCTCCTCGGCACCGAATCCCTCCCAGTCCACAAGATATTCCAAGCGGCCGCCCCGTCGCCGGGAGTCGAGGATTTCATGGACTCGGTAGATGTTGTCATCTTCGGGATCCGCAGGAGGAGGGGGCACCTCCGCAGCACCAGACCCTGGGGAAGAAGGAGTGAGAGGGTTAGTGTACGGCTTGAGCAAGGAGACATGGAAGGTGGGTGCGATGCGGTAGTGAGCGGGGAGTGCCAGCCGGTAGGTGACGGGGTTGATCTGCCTCTGAATCGGGAAAGGCCCGATATATCTGGGACTCAGCTTCCGACAGGGCCGACGGAGACGGATGTCCCGGGTGGAGAGCCAGACCAGTTGTCCGGGAAGGTAGTGAGGGGCGTCGGTACGGCGAAGGTTGGCCTGGTTCTGGTGTCTCCGAACAGCCCGCTGGAGGTGAGTATGAGCTGAGTCCCAGACTCTCTCGCTCGTCTGGAACCAATGGTGGACTGCTGGGACGTCAGATGGTTCTCCTGACCAGGGGAATAGGGGAGGCTGGTAGCCGAGTATGCACTGGAATGGGGTGAGTCCGGTGGTGGTTTGTCGGAGGGAGTTCTGTGCATACTCGGCCCAGGGCAGGTAACGGCTCCAGCAGTCCTGGTGATCGTGGCAGTATGACCGCAGGTATCTCCCAATCTCCTGGATCTTCCGCTCAGTCTGGCCGTTGGACTGGGGATGGTATCCAGAAGTGAGGCTGACGGTCACCCCCAGAAGGTTGAAGAATGCCTTCCATACTCGAGAGATGAATTGGGGTCCTCGATCGGAGACGACGTCCTCGGGGATCCCAAAGTTACGGAAGATGTGTTGGAACAATGCCTCTGCTGTTTCAAGGGCTGTTGGCAACCCCGGAAGGGGAATTAGCTTGCACGCCTTGGAGAAGCGGTCCACTACGACCAGAATGCAGGTGTGGTTGTCAGACACGGGCAGGTCGGTAACGAAGTCCACTCCGAGATGGGGCCAAGGTCGAGTGGGTATAGGGAGAGGGACCAGCTTGCCTTCCGGGAGATGACGGGGAACCTTGGCCATGGCACAGACTGAGCATACGCTGACGAACCGGGAGACGTCCTGGGCCATACCTGGCCACCAATAGCGCTGTTGGACGAGCGAGAGAGTGGCTTGGCTGCCTGGGTGTCCAGAGCCCGGAGAGGTGTGTACTGAGTCCATGAGGGACAGGCGTAGACGGGTTGGAACATAGACCCGTCCCTCAGGACCTCCCGGCGGAGCAGGTTCGAGTTGCGTGGCGTCGGCGATGTGGTCATCGAGGCTCCATTGGATGGGGCTGACAACCACGGCTGGAGGGAGAATGGGTTCAGGCTCGGAAGAAGGTGTCTCAGGTTGGAACTGACGGGAGAGTGCATCTGCTTTTACGTTCTTCTCACCGGGACGAAAGGTGACTGAGAAGTTGAAGCGAGTGAAAAACAGGGCCCAACGGGCTTGACGGGGGTTGAGTCTCTTGGCATCCCGGAGATACTCGAGGTTGCGGTGGTCAGTGATCACTGTGAACGGGTGTTGGGCTCCCTCCAGCCAGTGCCTCCATTCCTCCAACGCCAATTTAATGGCCAGTAACTCCCGGTTGCCGATGTCATAATTCTGCTCCGCCGGGGACAGTTTTTTGGAGTAGAAGGCGCATGGATGGAGTTGAGGTGGATTCCCCTGCCGCTGAGAGAGGACCGCTCCTACCCCCGAGATGGAGGCATCCACCTCGACGAGGAAGGGCACCGGGCAGGGCGAGGGTAGGAGCGGAGCCAAAGGCTGACTTCAGGGCTTGGAAGGCTTGGGTGGCTCGGGTGTTCCAGGACAGAGACTTGGCCCCGCTCTTGAGGAGGTCGGTGAGTGGAGAACTGATGGGACTGAAGTTCTGGATGAAACGGCGGTAGAAGTTTGCAAAGCCCAGAAAACGTTGAATCTCCTTTCGGGTGGTGGGTTGTGGCCAATGGAGTACCGCTTCCACCTTCCTCTGGTCCATGGTGATTCCGTGTGGGGTGATGACGTAACCGAGGAAGTGGATGGTGCTTTGGTGGAACTCGCATTTCTCCAGTTTGAGGTAAAGATGGTAGTCTCGAAGGCGTTGGAGCACTGTCTGAACGTGATGGATGTGGGAGGTCAGATCGGGAGAGTAGATGAGGATATCGTCTATGTAGATGACGACGAACTGATTGAGGAGATCGCGGAATATTTCGTTCATGAAACCTTGAAAGATGGCGGGTGAGTTGGACAATCCGAAGGGCATCACGAGATATTCGTAGTGCCCTGCGGGAGTGATAAAGGCGGTCTTCCACTCATCACCTTCCCGGATTCGGATGAGGTTGTAGGCACTACGAAGATCGAGCTTGGTGTAAACGGATGCCCCTCGGAGTTGTTCCAGGGCGGCTGGGACCAGAGGAAGGGGATAGCGGAATTTAACTGTAACTTGGTTGAGGATGCGATAGTCGATGCAAGGGCGCAAGCCTCCGTCCTTTTTTCCCACGAAGAAGAAACTCGAAGCGGCAGGGGACACTGATGGTCGTATGAATCCGTGGTCGAGAGCCTCTTGGACGTACTCCTCCATGGCCTTCTGCTCCGGGATGGACAGAGGGTAGATCTTACCTCGCGGTAGAACCGCCCCAGGCAGCAGGTCGATCGCGCAGTCCCATGGCCGATGTGGGGGTAGAATGGAGGCGTGACGTTTATCGAAGACATCCTGGAACGCCCGGTAGGGTGAGGGGATCTCGGGAGAAGGTTCCACTGGTGGGCTTTCTACGGAGGTGGTGGAGAGTGGGACGGTCGGAGTGGTGGAAGAAACTGGAGATTTCGTCACGGAGGACAGACAGCGCTGGAAACAGTCATGGCCCCACCGTAGAACCTCGCCGGTGGACCATTGGATGTGAGGCGAATGGGTCTCCAACCAGGGGCGTCCCAGGATGATCTCTGCCGTCGAGCCCTCCAGCACCAGAAAGGATATCTCCTCCCGGTGGAGCCAGCCGATCTCCAACCCCAGGTCAGGGCTCCGATGCCCAACCCGGCCGCGTCCTAGTGGTTGTCCCAGAATGGTTTGGACTTGAAGCTTGTGAGGGATGGTTCGTTGCCTGGTTTGTAGCCGGTTTAAGGTGGACAGTGCAATGAAGTTGGCCGCTGATCCGGAGTCGATCAGCGCCTGGACTGAAATGGAACGGTTCAGATAAGTGATAGTGGCTGCAGTGAATTTCAAGGAAGAGATGGGCAATGGTAATTGGACTGTACTCACAGCTGGTCGGGGAGGGCGGACGGGACAGGAGGCGAGCAGATGACCGGAGGCTCCACAGTACAGACACAGCCCGTTGGTGATACGACGATTCCTCTCGGATATGGGCAGATGAGTGGTACCGACTTCCATGGGTTCTGGTGCTGGAGGACTGTGGTGACGGGGCACAGGACGAGGAGTTGGAGGTGCAGGGCTGTCGAGCTGGCATGCAGTGCGTCGCTGGTCGATGCGGATGGATCGCTGGATGATGCTCTCAATACCGACGTTATCGTCATAAACCGCGAGCTGGAGGCGGATATCGGGATGTAAACCATGACGGTAAGCAGTGATGAGAGCAGACTCATTCCATCCGAGAGTGGCGGCGAGGGTGCGAAACTGCAGCGCATAGGTGGCGACGGACGATCTCCCCTGTCTCAGGCGGTACAGCTGGTCTTGGATGGAGATGGAGTGGGCTGACTGCGAGAATACTTCAGTGAAGTGGCCGGAGAAAGCGGCGAATGTCCGGGTAACTGGACCACGATCCTTCCAAAGGGCGTGAGCCCAGTTGAGCGCTCGGCCTCGCAGGAGGGAGATGAAGAAGGCCACTTTCGATCGTTCAGTGTGGAAGGATAACGGGTTCATCTCCATATACAGCTCGCACTGCAAGAGGAAGCCGCTGCACTCCTCCTCCTCGCCTGAGAAGGGCGCTGGTTGGGCCATGGGACTGGCAGAGGCAGATGGGGAAGAAGTGGTCACGGTAGATGTGGCGAGTGCTGGAGTGCTGGTCCGGGGTATGGTAGGAGAAGGTGGGGTCGGTGTAGCGCTGGTGCTCGGGGTAGATTGCTGCATTTTGTTGGTCTGGTCTTCTGTCACAGACTAGAAGGACACAGATGGATGAGTATAACCAGGTTTATTGAGACAGGTGGTATGATAGACAGCTGGTAAGTATGTAATGGATAAAGTTCGGTTCAGGAGCGGGAAACAGTCTGATAATGGATTTCTTATCTTTAGCAGGGCTGGAAGTAGGTGAGCGGAGGCAGAGGACGGATGACCAGAGGAAGACCGGGGATCAGGAGCGGAAGAGAAGCAGACGGGGCTGAATGAAGCGGGTAAGTATTCCTTTGTAGTAGGCAGTAGCGTAGCGGGAGTCTGTAGCCGATGTGTCGACGAGACCAGACGGTGAGTGACTGTGAGGAGTGAGTTTATAAAGGGAGGATGATTGGGACGGTGATTGAAGCGGGCAGGTGACAATGATTAGAATGCTGGAGAGCTGGAACGAGTGGGCGGAGTGAAGGTGTCTGGTGCTGACGCAGATGGATCCGTGACAATATGTCAGCCAAAGCAAAGAAATAAACCAGAACTGGAACTTTTCTGATCCACAAAACGTGTTTAATATGGAGTCATCTCAGCCTCAATAAGCCTGTTAACAAGCAGAATCAC